TTCGGCTAAAATGACTTTTTTCTATATCAATTATTAATGACAGAGTGAATGAGGGGGTTGTAGTTGTAGGTTATGGGCGGGGGCTGTCCTAGCAGGAGGAGATCCCCAACATGTCGCTTCGAGGCCCGAAATTTAAAGGACTTTTAGGGGCTTGAGGGGGCGCCTCAAGGAGGGCATTAAGAGCTTGTATTAGCTCAATGGCTCACCGACGCCTTTTCCTAATGTCAATTTTCAGTGGGTCGTGAGAGTGGGATCATATTGTGGAAGGAAATCTTATAAGTATTGATATGATTAGCATAATGAGATCAAGTAAGTTTCTGGGATTTAAAAAAAAGGATATTTTTTTCATAGCATTTTCTAATCTTTTCTCTTTATTCAAAATCGTAACAGTTGAATCGAGTACCCATCAAACTTTTATGTTATCGCATGTGTTGAAGTGGAAATTTAAAAAAATCAAATTCAAACAGAGTTTTAGCTCTTTAGGTTTTTTTCCGAACAGAACTTGACACGCATCGTTGCCGTCAAGTTAAATAACAGATTGAATAGAATTTAGACTACTTACCTCACATGGCCGTAATCAGATTTCACGATTATTTGCTTAAGTCCACTACTAATCCTTTGTCGTTGGGCTTCTCATATAAACGTCTCTGGCTGTGATCACCACCACCTGTCTTTTAAACCATATCTTGACTATTGATCGGAAATGCCTGATCACCGATTGGTACCGAGCAAGGTGTTATGCTCGCAGGTAGAGCTGCCAGGTATCCAAGTCTCGTGGAAGAAGTGAAGATTACGGGGGAGGGGGGTGTAACTTAGTTATGTGTTAATTTATATGTATCACTTACGGATTAGGAAGTGATTTGTGTATGTTGTTATTGGTGTTATGTTGGTAGTTGTGTATTGGTTGTGTTGATCGGTGTTATTGTTTGGTTGGGTTGACAGTTGTGTTTGATTTGTTGGGTTGAAAGTTGTGTATTGATTGGTTGGGTTGACAGTTGTGTTTTGATTGTTTGGGTTGAAAGTTGTGTATTGATTGTTTGGGTTGAAAGCTGTGTATTGATTGGTTGGGTTGACAGTTGTGTTTGATTGGTTGTGTTGACTGTTGTGTATGGATTGTTTGGGTTGAAATTTGTGCATTGATTGGTTGGGTTGACAGTAGTGTTTCGGTTGTGTTGTTAGTTTGTGAATGATTGACTATGTTGGTAATTGTTTATAGATTGGTTGTGTTGCTGTTTGTGTTTGTTGGGTAGTGTTAATTCTTGTTCCTTTGATATCAATTCGAAAACATCACAAGTTAGATCCTAAAAAAGCAACAACTCTAAACGCACGCGCATCTATTTTTAGATACTGACCACACGGGTAAAATTGACCAAAAGATGTTCCCTATTCAACCATCATACTAAACTTTGTTATTTAACGGAGAGATCCAGTTCTGGACTAAACTCACTAAATTATTGCGAAATGTCTCGGCATCACGGTCCACCTGAAGCCATTGAAAGAGTCGATCCTTTCCCACGAAATACAATTTAAATATATTTTGAAGGAAAAAAAAAGATTTAAAAAAACACTTTTTTTGTCAAAGACATAAACGCTGTAAAAAAAAAAAGAAAATAAGAAGAAAAAAAAGTCTACACATTTTTTTTTTAAAGTTAAAAAAAATATATTTTCTACTTTTTAACATTTGTATCTTTAAAATATCGACCAAAGTAGAATTATTTATTATTTTTAAACTACGAATGTTTACAAATTCTCGGTTAAAGTGACTTAAAACTAGACGTAAAGCTAAACTGAGCTAGAGGGTCACGTGTGACAACAAAAAAATATGCTACAAAGTTGCATTTAAAATAAACTACCACACAAATGACATCCGAATAGCACCTCAGTCAAAATGGACCCAGACACGCGGCGCCGCCATTCGCACCCGGGTACCATTATACTCAAGCTCTTCGGATGTCATTTGTGGTAGTTTATTTTAGTTAAACTGAAGAAGTAAGCTTACAAACATATAGTCCATTCAATTATCTTTCATTTGGTACCTTATTTTGTCTTACAAACCCAACAATAATATTTTCAATAGTTTTTTAATCCCAACCTCTCACTTCTGGTACCCGGGTACGAATAGTCGCAGCCTTTCCGAATAGAAGGAAAATCTTTAAAAATAATTAATGACATACCGCCTCCTATTTTCAATCTACACCTCTGCTCGGGAAATGCCAACCCCTGAAATGAATACGCCTATGCATATTGGCTTCGCGTAACCCAATGGACATGCACCGAGGAACCCTTTATTCACGGTCCGTGGGCGAAAAGAATCGCTTGCTCGTAGTGCATTTGAGCTTTATGGGCACATCAATAGGTATGGAGAGTATTTTGTGCCTGGCCCTGAGCATGGAGAGTATTTTGTGCCTGGCCCTGGGTATGGGGAGTTTTTTGTGTGCCTGGCCCTCAATGCAGTCTTTGTTTGACGCATTGATAATTGGGTGGGTTGACATGAGACATTTGACATCATGGCAGTCACACACCCATTAAGGCACATGTAAAGTTCGGATGCACGTAGCGAGTGGTGAAGCAGAAGCATCAGTTTTAAAATAAGTTTTACACGTTCGCAACACGATTTTAATGACACATGACAACCTCTAATGGCATTTTTTGTTTATAGGCCGCATGAGAAGTTTACCAAGGCTTCAACGTGAGTAATAGTGTTACGCGCTGGCTTCTCTTGTGAGAAATTCATCTCTTGTTTTAAGTTATGGCTCGTTCAAACAGTGCCTAACAAAGGACGATACCATAGATAAATAATAAATAACCAAATTACGAAACCCAAAACAGTTTCCAATTACAATTAAATAAGATTTAATTTAGTAATAATACAATTACAAAGCAAAAGAAATATAATTACAAATCATTAACTTACAGTATGGTAGATATTGTACTGGTATACAGTTAACACAGTTAGTACAATGTTCCAATGAATAATGATGAATGATCAATGCGATTAAACACATATAAGTACACAAAGACGTAAAGTTAAATATATATATCAATCTCCGTCCCTCCGTATTTGTCAATCCCTTATATATGTGGGTCTACCGACGCGTAAGCCCCGCCTTCCAGAAGCTACTCAGCATTTATTTACATTTCTAGAACACTCGCAAACATTCTACAAAATACTAGGAGATAGTCTAACCATTTTTAATTGGAAAGGCGGTAGTCAACAAGATACATCAGACGAATAGGCCACGCCCATCTATGAACGGAGCGTGTGTGCTAGGGTTCAAGCAAAGCTCACGCACGGGGAAAAAAGTGTCATGCATAACAAGTAGCAATGCCTTGAGTTGTATTTTGTTTAAAGTGAGGGAGAGCTGCTCAATTTGTCAGTCTCAGTCTCTCGTCCTTGCCCTCTTTCTTCCAACTGCAAGAGTTTAGTAGTAGATGGCCAGTAGGGTTTCTTGTGTCTCACTGTGCTCGTCGTGCGTTCAGTTGATTCATCGTGTGACAACCGCCCAAGGGACGCCATCTACAGAGTTTGCCTTCTCTGAATTGCCATCCAAGGTTCACGAGTCCAATCCAACCGGGGTGCTAGTGTTCTTTCTTAAAAGATATATATTATTATGTTATATAGCTATCGGTGTTGGAATATCGTACTATGTATTTTTTTTAAATATCGTATTATGTAATTTTTGCCCCCCCCCCCCCACCCTCCATTCCCCCGAAAAAAAACCTGAAATGACGTCCCTGATGGGCATAATCTATAGTAGCTGATATATCATTTTCATCTTGCGGAACTGATATTCAGTGATAAACCTGACAAGTCAAAATCATCCTTACCTAACTATTCAGCATTTAAAATCCAAGCATTGTCTGTGTGAGCAATGGTTGCCATAAGCTCTCTCTATCTTTGAATTGGTATAGTTGTTATTGAACACTGATGAGTTTTTTGTTTTTTTTTAAATTGAACACAGTGTACAATGATGTGTTAATCATTCTAGGGAGAGGATTAATAGAAAAATGACAGGTGAAGAAATGCCAACTTTTTACTTCTCTTGCACTAACAAAGTGTGCTAACATTCTTACCAGCCATCTGCAGTGCACAAACAGACACACATTAAATAACTCGTATATTGTTAAAACCCTAAACATATATATTATATCACTATTTACACTCATTAAATTGTAAACAATTATGTAGGAACCAGTCAATTTTTAAGATTAAAATTTTAATAGAAAAAACTTGATTGTTGACGTTAACTAATCTAAACTCCCTCCCTCCCATTGTCAACAGCTGTCAAACATTACCACCCCCACCCCCCCCCCCTATTTAATTGACGTCATGGACGTCTCTTTATGAATTTTAAGAGCTTATTTTTCACCCTACTATTATTTTTAAAATTAAAATTTTAAAAGAAAAAACTTTATTTTTGACGTTAACTAATCTAAACCCCCCCCCCCCCCTTGTCAACAGCTGTCAAACATTACCCCCCCCCCCCCCCCCCCCCCTATTTAATTGACGTCATGGACGTCTCTTTATGAATTTTAAGAGCTTATTTTTCACCCTACTATTTAGCGTTTTAAATTCGACTTTAATAGAACATCTTAAAAAATGTTTTTCTTTTATTTGCTACTTTTAAGCATTATTTCTTGTCAAAAATTGATTTACTAAAAAAAAATAAAAAATAACAAAATTCATTTTTCATACTTCCATTAGTTTCACGAACTGCATTGGTTAAAATTCTGAGGGTACATGAAAATGAAGAGAAGGGAACCAATCGAATAATTTATAACCTATTCAGTAGTTAGTTGCCCTGCCGTGCAGAGTGTTTAAAAATATATACCGCGTGTATTACCCTTTAATTTATTAAAATAAAATCTGTCCCTTCTTTATTATTCTAATATATTAAATTAAACAATGTTAATTTATTTTTAAAAGGAAAAATAATTTATTCTGCTAGACATAGGTACTGCTTTTACTGCTTTTCTATGTTTCTATGGGAAACGCTGTCACATCCGGTAAAATATAAACAATACTTTCAGTGGTCTAATATACGGATGAACAGTGTAGAAACACTGTTTATTATTTAAAGGAATAAATAAGACTGACACAGGATGTCTGGCTTGTCAAGAGATGTCCTAAAGTGGCTTCAGAGTCTAGATCTTTCTATCCAAATGAGAAATCCAAAATGGTAAATCATATTAGTATCATAAATATAATATTATATTATATTAATTAAATCATATGTGAGTGTGTCATCACAAAAAATTGAACATTTTTTTATCATAATCATACATATAAAGCTTGAAATTGACAGTGATACTAAACTTTCTGTTGTGATAGCGATAGATGCATTCTGACATAAGACTTCACTTTTATTTATTTATAGTTTAATAGTAAGTAAGTGTGTTCTGTTCTAGATTTAATTTTAATTGTAATTGTTACTTTTTTTAATTTGAATGTGATTTAGAGGAGTCTGAGAATTGCGTCGGCGTCAGATAGTTCAATAATAGCGTCAGATAGTCCAATAATAGCGTGATATACTTTATGGACAGCCCCTTATCTTAATAATATCCTAAATATACAAATTACTAATAATTTGTTAAATTAAATGTTTAAAATAACCAATAAGTTCAACTTTAAGCCAACTTAAGCCTTAACTTTAGTGTAGTGTAGTGCAGTCTCATTTATCAAAATTTTCTTCATTAAATTACAGGCAATAAATTACATAATTGTTTTGGGTTCATTTAGCCGTTGCTACACTTGGGTTTCTCAAGTCAATGAGTAATTATTCTTTTAATGCACATGTCACATGTCCTTGTGCAATAATTTTAAAATTAAAACATCCTATTTCCTCCCTTTCTCAAGTTTTGAAATGTTTCCTTCTACTTTTAATATTTTGGAGTAGACATAAAATATGAGAATCAGAAAGACTTGTATTAAAATTTTTTTGGATAATGTAATTGTAACGTAGCATTAAATAATGGACTTGCTTGTGCTGCACAATGAAAGAGTCATATCAATCCATTATATGGAATTTCACAAATAAATGATTGAAATAAGTAAATTTGGATTTTACCATTCACTCTGTAAGCATTTACTTCATTACTTGCCAATCTGTTTACTCAAACACAAAAGAGTTATCTCTACCGTATAATACCAAACATTCTTCATTTTATATTTTCTTTGAAAGATCCTAAGCAGGAGAAATTAACACAATACAATAGAGTAGAACCCAGCTATAATGTGGTAATTGGGGTCCAGAAAATGTTATAATTTTAATAGTAGGGTCATGTTAATTTGGGGTTTACAATATTTTTATATGACCTACCCATGTTGCTAACCCAATGTACATATACCACATAGTCTCACAGAAGGCTTGATTCCATGCAAATAGTGTTAGGATATTTACAACTAAAAAAGCGGGCAATTCATACCTTTCACTTATTGCGTCTAGTAACACTGCCAAAGCCCAGCCCACATGTTTGGTGACTTTTGATTTTTGATGCTTATTAATTTCAAATTTTAGGAATATTATTATAATCAAATTAATATGTGATCTCATTCCCTAAATGAAGTTGAATTTTTTAATGATTTTTTCCAAATACTTTTCATGTGCAAATTAATATGATTTTGGGAGCCAAACCCGAATATGTCTTATAGCTGAGATTCACTGTAATAATATAAAATAGGCTCCCTGTTATAGACTCATAGTGATCCATTTTTAATGGGGACATTTTAATATTTTTTTACTGTTTATTTACACAGGTTTTTTTTTAGAAGTATTAAGGATTGTGAAAATCATAAATATTTGTCAGTAGATTTTATTTCATTTACTTACTGACTTTCTCTAACATGTATTAATGCTATTTCTCTTATTTCTTTTTTTCATTTTTTTTCACTAGGGACTTTTCAAATGGCTACCTCATAGCTGAAATATTTTCATGGTACTTCCCTCAAGATATTCTTATGCACTCTTTTTATAATGGAGAGTCTTTGGAACTTAAAAAAAGAAATTGGTACCTTCTGAAAAATGTAGGTAGAGGGATATTTGGTTTTTTTATAATGGCGAGTCCTTAGAACTATAAAAAGAAAAGGGTACCTACCTACTGAAGAAAAGTAAGTAGGGGAATATTTTTTTTTACAATGGAGAGTCCTTAGAACATAAATGAAATTGGTACCTACTGAAAATGTAAGTAAGGAAAATTTGTATTTAATTTAAAGTGTAATATGATTATTTGTTAATTAAATGTCTAATAACATACAATGACACAATAATAACTTTAAAAAAGAACATTTTCAAAGCGTAATATTGTTAATACATGTTTCAAAATAAATTTTCCTTAATAAAATCTAAATGCAGGATATTTTGTTTTATTTTCAGTTCATTCTGAAAAACATGCTTGACCTGCAGATGGAAGATATAGATGGAACCATCCACTGCCGGGAAGGTGCTGCAGTACAACTGATAGAAAATTTATATGAACTTCTCACAAACAGAAAGTAAATTATAGAGTGGATATAGAACTGCAAACTGCAAATTTTCTTTTGTAGTGATAAGACACACATTAAAATTATTTAGAATTTTTTTCCAGGCTACTAAGATTTTGTCTTTTAAAACTCATTCTACAAAAAAGTGATTATAACTGTACACTACACATATTTGAATATATCAGTTTGATATACTTCACATATTTGTCAGTATAAGTATTTGACAACTTTAATTTAACACACCAATGGATGGGACATTTTCTGAACTCCTATTGAGCTCTTTTGAAAAATAATTAGAATAAAACATCTTATAAAAGCTTTTAAAATGTGCTACAAAATTTAATTGTTTTTTGAGTTTCTCAAATTTTAGCCTCATTTGCTTTCAAACATTATTATACAGAATAAAGAAATATCAGTTAGATACAGAAAAGGACTACACAGATTATGCCTATCAACAAAGCCTCCCATTGCATGCGCGGTCCACTGCTGCTAAAGCACTTAAAAATAATCTAAGACTTACTGAAATTCTTGCGGATCAAAATCTTATAACTGCAGCTCAAAAGGTGAGTTAGGACTAATGTGTATAATTTGAATTAACAATTTTTGAGAATGGGGTGATTTTGATCTACCATTTGAAAAACAAAAAGGGATATAATAAAAAATGGTTAAATTTATGGACTTGGCTTATTTAATTTAAAGCTGTGTTTGCTGTGCTGATAATACTGCAGTTGAGTGAGTGCTACTAAATTAACATAACTCAAGTTTCTAGCAAAACATAGCCTTTTAATGAACATGGTTTTGCAATACCCTGAGTGATATACTATTTGGACATTATGAACAAAAAATAATTCATTTTCTGTTTTCTAACTCTGAAATACCTATACATTTATTCATGTTAGAGCATATGAACATTTGTAACAGTCTTACAACAAGTTTTTATTTCGCTAACAAATGACCATTAATCCCTATCTAGCCTTGCTGGGTTTCTGAGAGAACCGTTTTGAAGGTAAAGTGTTGCATAAATTAAACTCTTAATGCTGCACGAGAAATGTTGATTCTTGTATTTTCTACTTAGAATTTTGCAAAATTCTCTGTTTATGCTACCTTGTTCAAGTAATTTTCAGAGTGACTTATGAAAACAGTTTAATGAAATCTATTTTCGGATTTCAAGATTGGTCACAGATGAAGTTTTAAAAAAAATTGTATTTTTGCTGAATTTTAATATTTTATGATGGCAGAGTTTTTTTGTGTGTAAATCTCAAAATTTAAGAATTAAAAAAAAAAGTATGCAATATATTTCAATGAGATATTGATGTTTAGTTTGAATTTATTTGTTAAAATCCTACTAAAAAAATAATTAATAATTAAATGTTAAAAATTGACTGATGAAATTTTGTTTTCAGTCCTTTTATGAAAATCTAAAAATTAATTCCTAAAAAATAGCTTTATAATCGATAAACATTAGATGCAAATGGGAAAAAATAGTAAATTGCAAATGTTATTTTTTCCATACTTGTATAAAAAATAATGTAATTATTAACAATTTGCAGAGATTTATAAAATATTTGCATTCTCTATAATATAAAATTATAAATATGAGAAATAATAAATTGTTATCATTATTTCAATGTTAAGGATTCTGCATGTGACCATTCATATTGCCCACACACTAATTGTGTTCCATATATTTTGCACTATTTAATCCTCACAAATTAAACATATTGTGGTGATAATGACTGAAAATCTGTTTTTTAGTCTGCACAAAATTTACTAAATTCATTACCCTCTTGCACATGCATGATTTAATATGTATTATCCATAAATGTGAGTTCATAATAAACAGGTTCATAATATTTATTTTTTAATTTGAAGAGCTTGGAATCAGGGCTTTTAAACTCTAGTTTTATATTTGGCAACCTCTCAGTGTGGCTTGCATATCTGGCAATACAACATTAAAATCGAATTCTCTGTCAGCTCTTGCTTTTCCAAACCATAAATTAATTCACTCACAAAGTATGGCTGTGTGGGAAAAATAAAGGCAACCTTAGCCACAAGATTTAATTTAAATATATAATATTTTTATATAGTTATAAAATGTATGCTTTGATACAACACCCTATTATTACTCTCCTTATCTAAGAGATATCGCAATAAGCTTCACAGTGTAAAATCCACATCTTAGAGATATAGCAATAATCTTCACAGTGTAAAATTGACCACTTTATTCATTTATCACTGTCAGTTTGTTATGTTAATTTCTTCTCGTCTTCCATTTCTGTTCAATAGTCTTAAACATTCAAGCAGATTTCAGTCTATCATTCTGTTGCTGATATGTACTCTTGTAATATACTTTATTTATTAAAGTTATCTTGTAAAGGGCACAGTTAATTTATAAAGAAATATGATTTTTATTTCATCTTACATCTGTAAAAAACCTAATAATCCATTCAAGATTTTTATGTTTGTGATAATATTCTACAATATTTATTTTTCTTATTCCTTTAAGGACTGTGACTCATGCTGACTCATGAATTGTTATCATTGATTCAGAGAAACCTTTTTTTAAAAAAAAGTGTAAAATAAGTTATTGTGAAAATCATCAACATTGATGCGCTAGACAAAATGTCAGACTGTGAACCAAATTGTTGAATTTTGTTTAAATTACAATTTGATGTGGTTTGTTCAGCTTTGTCTCAACACAAATATGCAAATACTGTTAAAAGAAACTTAATTAATTTTGAGTTTTTATCTATTCTTTTTTAGTCTCAAAAGATTATCAATGAACACATCGAACACCGCCGCCAAGAGAGAAGAGAATATCCAAAAAGATTTGGAATTAAACCTACTCTTGGGGACCGGTGTCTGAGGAGAGCTGAACCAACAGAGAAAATTCAATCAGCACACAGTCAGACTAGCAATCCAGCAGACATGTTGTCAGAATTGGGTATGTGATATAATAACGCCAAAGCAATCAATAACTTTTAAAAGATTTACTGAAATAAATATTCGTAGCCTATTCTAAATAAATAATATTATTGAAGTGCATGAAATTTTTATCCCTGCTTTGAAAACTTTGTCAGTTTATAAAATAATTAAATAATTATAATAATATAAACAATACAGTATAATGCTTACTAAATCATGGCTAAGGGCGTCAACCGCAGAGGACCACTGATCTCAGAGATCTATTTTTAGGGATTGATAAATAGAAATTTAAGAGGACTGCTTCATCTGAAGGCATATTTATGTCTCATAAACACTGGGGGATTGGAAGTTTTTATACAATTTTAATCCACCTCTAGCTCAGTTTTAAAAAAATCTATATTCACTGACAGACTAATTATAATGGCCAGCCTAGTTGACCTCTGTATTCCATATCAAGGTTTTTCACTCATGGTTTTCTTCCCCCCACGCAAAAAAAAATTTGCATTAATTATGAGATTTTTCCATATAGTAATGTTTAATGTACTTGTGAGGGTGACCTCGTGATGTGCATGCATCTGCTACCACCTGTTATTGAAGAAAACGACTGCCACATTTTTTTTTCAATCAGCATTGGGCAAAAAGAATATTATATTTTAAATTTATATGATATATGTACAGAAAATATGAATCATGAATAGTATATCAGCTCTATTTTTCTTCAAATAGTAAAATTATAATATCATAATCCATAAAATATCTAAAGATCAGGCACAATGATTCTGCTCTTTCAATACAATCTGCAGAATGGAAACAGATCTGGATGAAATATCCAAGGAAAATAAATCCCTCTCTGACTTAGAGATTTGTGGCCAGTTTTTAAAAATATTTTGCTGACATTTGAAGTTTTATTGAAATTCTATTTTTAAACTTTAATTTTTTCTTAATGTGGCAAAATGATTCACTTAAATTTATATTCATGGAGTTAAATAATTTTTCTTATTATTTCTACCTTTATAATTAAAAAAAATACCTTTCTGGTAATTGTTATTTTTTTTATTTCATGTCTATTTAATTAAATTGTAGCTAACACATACACCTCCTTTATATGTGTAAGCTTAGTCAACTGTTTCTGCTACAACATATACTTGCAGTGAATATTTATATTTTCAGTAAAAATGATTACCATAAATTGTTTTCTTACAAAGACATCTTAATTATGAGTTATATATTCATATTTGGGCATATTTTTTACCATTAAAAACATATTTTGTTTTTATTTGTTTATAATAGACTTCCCCCAAGGGAACAATTGTGTTATTTAGTCATTGGCCTACTTTACATTTTTAAGTACTCACATTAAAAAAACAACAATTATTATTAATTATTCTAAAAGAATAAAAATTAAATTTCATTTCATTGATGATTTTGTAATCAATCCGCTTCTCCATTATCAGAAGCTGAAACAATGAGTGAAGGTGCCATGACCAGGGAGCCAAGCATTCACTATAAAGAGGTAGAGGTCAAACAGATGGACAAGTCCGCATTTTACCAACTTCCTTTACAGAGTTATTAAAGGAATTTCTAAATGTTTTTTTATTTAGGAAAAAATATATTATAAAAAATGAGCCATAAAAAAACGAAAGAAGGTGTTTATAAAAGTGTTACTACACCATTTTATGAAGTAAACTCTTTGACTCAGTTTTAGACAGTTTTTTAACTGCTTGCTTAGCTTCCTTTGGTTGCAATATTTGATAACTTGAAAGTATATTTTTCACTGTTAAATGATTGGATAATGATAATTTTTGAAATGCTAATTTCATCAATTTGTAACACACCAATCGTTCACTTCATGAAGGCAGTGACCATGTTTTATTAAAGCAGTTCTACCATGTTTTATTAAATATTGAAGCATTGTTTTCTCTTGATGCCATGGTGTGTCAAATTTTTTTTTTTTTAACAACAGCTAATTCTTGTTTTACCAAGACATGGCTCTGGTAAACATGCATTAGTAATAAAAACCCTTAAATTATCATTCAGATGCCCTTTAACATGAAAGAGCCATATTGATTGGCTGAAGGGTATAGTGAGTGGCTCATTCATGTAAGAGTGATGTAAGGAATGATTCTAACTGAATATGTTAACAAGTAAATTTTGACTTTGCATGACAGCTACATGTCAAGCAACTGAAAAAATCTTAATAAAAATTAAACTAAAATTCACGGCAATCTCAAAATATAATGTAAAAGACATTAAATTGAATTTATAATTTTTTGGGGGTCTTGTTTAGCTGCAGGCAAGTCGTTAGACAACTGAACTGCATAGACATTGCTGGATCTTTGTAACTCTCTGAAGCTATTTAATTATGAGTGATTGCTAATATTTCTTGATGGACACCTATGAGCTAAAAATCACTTCAGCAGCTTTGCAAATGATAACATTTAGCTATTTCAATATTAACTCATCCAATGCTGTAAAACAGAACAGAAGTTCCATGTGATGTTTTAGTCATGTTGAAGTAGATCATGCTGTTCATGTTTCATTTGTTCCTTTATTATATGCACCATTTGGTTAAACAGACCAATCCCTCTTCTTATATGTTAATTTTCTTAGCATACAATAATATTGTGCCGTCAAACATAATTCCATCAGAATTAAAGAAAAACAGTAAAAAAAATTTGTTTCAATCACCACAATGATATCAATAAGTAATTGCCATATTGCAACCGCACCAATTGACAAATTTATTTGTGCAGAGTGTTTGTTGATTAGTAGTACACAACTCACAAGAGCTATTAAACCATATCTGTACCATGTATTTATTGAATTTATTTCTGCTTGTAAGAGTTAGAACATTACATCTAGTAAATACTTTAAGTTATTTGTCATAATTTAACATAAAAGTTTGGCTGGTATCTATCTGCCTTGTAACAGTGAACTTTCAAAGTGGCTAAAGAGAAATTTTTTCAAAAGCTGTTAATACAACAGGTTAAAACTGACTTGGTTAAATTTCCCCCACATCATACACGATCAAATATTGTACTATAGTAATGTATCTCTAATGTAACAAGGCCTTTGTCTAGATGTTACTTGTTATGGCGCACTTCAGTCAGGCAACTCTCCAAAATCAAGGATCAAGACCAGGGAAATAGCATGGAACCCAGCCATAGATTCCTCCCGCCTTTGAAAATAAATATGTCTTTATTTCTTACTTTAAAAAAAAATGTACAGAAACCCCATACCCTCCTTTCCCTGCATGACTTGAGCCCTGGCTGTATGGTTTTTTGTGAATAGGTCCACATCTCATGACAGAATGCAAGGAAATACATTTTTTACATGTGATGAACAGAAATTTATTATTTCAAGCAAATTTTGAACAATACAATAAATAAACAAGTGGACAGAGAGAGCGAATGCAAAAATAACAAAAAAACCTAATGGCAGTGTTTAAGTTACACACTAATACTGGAAAGTGGCAGAGAAATCTAGAAAAAATCATCATCAAAGTACAGATCTTGTACAGCTTTCATTTATCTGAGGTATTTTGCTGGGAAAAGAACATTCAACACTACATAATTTATGGATATCTAAATTACAAAAGAAACTTAAACATTATTCAATTAATCATTAAAAAAAATATTAACAAATTTCTTGATCTTATGTTGAGCCTAGAAAATGAGGGAATCAAAAACGTTTACATTTTAGATTAGGTCTTGAAAATGAGAAATTCCAAAAAGTTAAATTTTGTCTAAAAAAAACCCTTTTGGGGAAGGAACTATCAAAATTATACTCATAAACTGATATTTCTCAGACATAAATTTGAGAAATATTAAAAATGATGAACACTTAGCTATTGAAATTACTTTAAGAGCAAGGTTTCTAACTCCCACCTGTATACTTAAGCTTTTTAATTTGCAAGACATCATTTTTAAATTTTTTGTTTGTTTGTATAAACAACCTTTACAAAATACTTTTAGTTTTGAATTTCCATTAAAAGAAAAAATGCTACACTTTAAAAGAATTAAATTCAAGAAGTACTGAACTGTTAAAAGTTTACTGACAATGTCACTTGATGTTAAAAGAACAATAACACTTAGTGAAATATAATACTGTTTATCTCTGGCTCAATTTACATTTTAACAAAAACATATCAGTTCTCGCTCCCTGACAGGCCCATTTTCAATAATGTTTCCACAGCATTGTAAAAAAAATTTGTCAATATAAAAATATTGATTCACATGAACAAAACTGACACCTTAACACAAACATTTGTGAGGAATTTCAGTATGAATTAAGAGCATTAGTGAGATTCAAATAAAAAATGGTTGATAAAAATACAACTTTTGTGTGGACGTATCACAGATTTTGCAATTAAAAATATTATCACACTTTTTAAACAAATACAAAAATCCATTGCAATGCCAAAGGTAAACATTGAAGAATGTATAAGATATCTTCAATACAAGCGAACCTGAAATAAGATTTTGTCATTTCAAGTAAACCTAAAATAAGATATCGTCATTACAAGTTAACCTAAAATAAGATATCATCATTACAAGTAAACCTAAAATAAGATATCATCATTACAAGTAAACCTAAAATAAGATATGGTCATTACAAGCAAAAGTAGTCATTTTTATATCTTTTTTTTTTCCATCTTATTCTGTCAGTTTACATAATATTGCAGCACACCATAAATTTGGAAATTGATAATTGATATATTTTGAACATCTGATAAGTAATCAGAGACAAGGAATGTAACAATTTTAACAACTTACATTAACATAAAATAAGCCTTTTTTAAAAATAATTTCACTATTAGTTTGTTATTTGAAGAAGCAATTATAAATGATGGATTGCATAGGATAATTAAAATAAATAAGCTTGTCAGATGTTCAAAATATATTATTATGGTAAATCTTTCATGCAACCACAGATAAGAATGTGGCACGCCAGCAATGTGACTAATGCTTACCTATGGTCTAAGAAATTCACTTGTGAAACCAAACAATAAATAAAAATTGTGAAATAAATGGAATGAAGATTATTTCCCTGTAGACGAAATCCCTAAAAATTTTAGAATGGATTAATTCTAACGCCAGATCCCAGTGGTGAGAAAGGATTAACCTTGGCCCACATGAGAGCTTCATTCAAAGAAATAGCTGAGTGTCCATCTTCCAAGAAGAAGGCTTGGCCCTGGGGAAAATAGGTAGCATTGAGCAATAAACATTTTAAAACTTGGCCCTGGGGAAAATAGGTAGCATTGAGCAATAAACATTTTAAAACTTGGCCCTGGGGAAAATAAGTAGCATTGAGCAATAAACATTTTAAAACTTGGCCCTGGGGAAAATAGGTAGCATTGAGCAATAAACATTTTAAAACTATCTTCAAGTGAATAATTGGAAGCTTATCATACTTTAATGATGATGATAATCCTACTATAGAATACTGTTTAAAACAGTGGTTCTCAAACTGTGGGTCGTGACCCCTTTGGGGGTCGAACGACCCTTACACAGGGGTCGCCTAAGACCATCAGAAAACACATATTTATGAAGAAGAAACAGAAATAATTTTATGGTTAGGGGGTCACCACAACATGAGGAACTGTATTAAAGGGTCCCAGCATTAGGAAGGTTGAGAACCACAGGTTTAAAATGTTAATGACCCTGGAAAACAAGTTACACTAATTTCAGAATGATATATAAATTGAAGGCAATTAGCTTACTCTTATCCTCTCCCCTGACAAAACTGATGTGTGAATGTCTGAGTGGGATGGTAGATGTGAGCTGGACACACAGTCAAGACCAGGCTCTAGAACCCAACTGGGGTCACTGCCACAGTGGCCCAATAATTTTGTGTCAAAGGTGATAGCCTCAGTTGATAGCCTGTCAAGAGTAAATATCTAATTCAACATTCTGGCTAAAAATGTCAAATATTTTGGCCTAACAGCAAATCTTTGTTAATTATCCGTGTAACTTTTATTTCTAAATGTAAAATATTCAAGCTATTATTTTAAAAATAAGTCAAGTCTGTTACAAGCATCATAGATTACTAGGTGGAATTCAAAAAAAAAAAAAAAAAATCAATTAACTATTCAATTTCAAAATATTGTAATGTTAATACATTATTAAACCACTCAAATATCCTTTGAAAGACCCAAAAGTTCAGCCTAAATTTTTGAATGGTTTTTATTTCTAAATTTAAAAAATTCAAGCTATTATTTTAAAAATAAGTAAAGTCTGTTAAAAGCATCATAGATTACTAGGTGGAATTCAAAAAAAAAAAAAAAAAAATCAATTAACTATTCAATTTCAAAATATTGTAATGTTAATACATTATTAAACCACTCAAATATCCTTTGAAAGACCCAAAAGTTCAGCCTAAATTTTTGAATGGTAGTTTCTATAGTATTACTTAAGGTTAAAAAAAAATTGTTACTAATCTTATATAATTTCCAGTCTGACCTTGAACTTTATAAGAATTGGTAGTGTCTTTAAAATGAAATAAATTGCTTGTTACATTAACTTCTTGTAACATTAAAAATACCATCATTTCTCACCTTCCTTTCAGAGCAGCTGAAAATAAACTGATATTTTCCTCAATTTCTCTCTCAGTTAAATTCTCTGTAACACCTCCTTTCTTCAACATATTTCTAGGGAATTTTTTTTTTTTAAAGTTATAAAAAACAGACATAAAATACACACTCATACTGTTTTAAAGAAACATTTAAAATATTACAAACAGTGATGTTAAAACATTACAGCTGGTGATATTAAAACATTACAACATTAGACCAACATGAGAAAATGGTGAGAGTTAGATAAAAAGAAGTTGCAGAAAAAGAATGAAAATAAACTATTGAAAAGTGACAAATATTTTAATAGTTACTAAAACATGTTTTTAAAGTCTCAGTTTATTATTCTAGACAGCTTGTCTTGTCTGCCTATAAATAAAGTTGGAAAATATGAAGAAAAAAACCTTAAAGACTATCCATATGTGAAGATTGTATTTATTAATATAAAAAAATAATTTAAGTTATAAAAATAACTAGATAGCGTTTGCAAGATTAAAAAAGTACAAAACAAGATTAATACCTAGCATGAAGAAACAGAGGTTCCACAATAGGATAATAATGTCTTTTGATTGCAATGAGTGCTCCAACGTAAGCTGATAGTGCCAGCAATTCATACATGGATCTGGAAGAGAAAACAAAGTCAAATGATAAAAGTTGAATTTCAAAAAAAAAAAAAAAAATAAATAAAAAATGAATTTAGGTGTTAATATTTAACATTTCAAATTTTTAAATTTTTAATAATTCAATCATATTGCACCCCAAATTTTGTTATGCGAGAAATTAAAATACACGAAAAACAGTTAACTGCTGCTGTGACTTACACTGAACTTTTGGCATGCTGAAGTTTCTCAGTTTTGATACAACCCAGTAACTGAAGCATGGGAAATACATCATCTGTGCTCCAGTCAGGGACTTTTATCTTATCTGAAATTTTAGAGAAATAAAATGTAATTTCATTTAAATTCTATAAACTAAAAATCCTTTTTAAATAAAGTCTAGAAACGCATTGGAAAAATATTCGATATATGCAATATATGTAACTTATACAATTTATAATTTTAAGAATAAATAATGTTTATTTTTGGGACATTATAAATGTATTTGTAATTTTCCTATACATATAAATTGTTTGAGAACTCCAATGTTCGGGAAAAGGGAATGATTATAACATAAACAACTTGAAAGAATGAAATAAAAATATTATTATTGAAATAGTAAGAACTAGAAATGCCACCATTTTTTTGCATTTAACAACAGGAAAATGAAAACTTATAGTGCTTAAAAACTAATAAATAAATCTATAATTGATTCATATAAGTATTTGATTTTGATACATAATTTATTTTATTTCATCTACTCTGACAATAACTCAGTTTATTTATGATTCCTAAACATTTGATTATAAAATTTGTTTTATTGCCTGCAATCCCACCCACTTTTCTTTTTAAAGAATAATTTTTAAAAAGTGGACATCTATGTATGTTGTACAAACTGAGTGGGGAGAGGTTTGTTGATTTGGAGATTTTGAATATGGGTATGTATAGAATATGGAGAGGCATCTTGGCGATGTACCAAGATGCATTTATGCACCAATTTTTGTGATAATTATCCAGAAATTCTGACAGTCCATAAATAATCTATTTTTATATCTAATCAAGCAAACTGACCCTTAAAAATAGTTGGATACATGTTTCTAATTATTTTAGAAATAAATAAAAATATCAGCGCTACATTTCTTAATTATGGTAATCATACTCCATGGTAATTATTGTTGCACAAATGAACTAACTAGACATCACAATAGTTTAGGGTGACCAAATCATGAACTGGAAAAAACGGGACACTTACATGGATGGTTTGGGGGGGGGGGGATACCTTCCAGCTAAAGAGGGGTCCAGGGGGCTCAGCCGGAAACTGTTTATTGAAATATGCTCATTTTAACTATGAAATCTAACCTAGAAATCTACTTTGGGGCACTCGGTCTTTTCCTATGTCATATGATGTGTCTGAACATCCACCATGACCAATACTCAAAACATTATTGCAAACTGTGCACTCGGCTTCATTTTCATAGCATCCCTTTTTAATATAGTTCCACTCTTTGGAATACTCCTCCATTACTTACATTGACGCTTGGGCATAATTATTGTCTACATGAGAAGATAATATAAAATTAAAGAATAAAATTCAGCATCCAAAACAAACACCTGTCACTCTGACAGGAACCGGCCGGCAGGGATCACACACAAGACTAACACATTACACGTAGCGGTAGCTGAATCAAAATTGGTTTCTGCAAAGTTACATCCTCGCCACGCCCCCCCCCCCAGCTTCAAGTCTTGTGTCTTTCGCCAAACATTTACATATAAGATCTATGGCAGGGACACTGTGGTGGAGGGGGAAAAGTACAGCCATCACGCAGGCCCACATCACTACTGGCACTGGCTACACAGCTAGGCAAAATATTATTTGAAGTTATATTATAAATTAGGAAGTTTTAGTGATTTGAAAATGTGTTTGGTTTAAAAAAAAGGGAAATTTAGGCATCCCGAGAGACTTTTTCTGGACAACGGGTACGATTTTGAAAAAATAGGACAATCCTGTTTTTACGGGACGTTTGGTCAGCTTACAATAGTTACATTTGGCCCAATGATAACCTTAGTCTAACGTATGGTTCCATGTGTGTGTTATGATTTATGATTTAATTATTCAATTTAGATGACTCAAAGATTGTCCATCTAGGTACTTTGATGATTGCTGCACAAAACATGGGTTACAGCAACTTGTTTGATTGTCTTCGTCGCCATAATTGTCTATAAATAGGACACTTTTGGCTGTGGGGTGGGGGTGAGAGTCTCATTTATAAATATGCATGGGGTAAATGTTAAAATATGTACAGGTTTAACAGGAGGATGCATAATATTAAAATATAAATGGCCCAAAATAAGCTATTGATACTTCAAAAAAATAATTACCCTCTTTACAAGCTAACTTGAATTCGCTGCACAATTTCACACATGCCCCAAAGTTCACATCATTCTAAGTAGAAAGCCAAAGATCTTTTAACACACAAGAGTTGAGCTATAGATTTGGAACATAATTGCAAGTTACCTTTTACAAACTGCAAGCCGATGGCCAAACCTTCTTCACAGGCTTGGGACAGCAAATAAAATTTGACACACTCTATAGCATCATCAGCTGAGGATTTCAGTGATTTCCCTTTAGCTTCACACATGTCCATGGATGGCAGTCCTGCCTGTTGCAAAGATTCAAATACCAATTATGTGAGAATATTGTGTTTTTTATAACACAATGATTTCTTTATTTTTTTCTCACATGATAACATAAAAATATAAACACTTAACAAAAGCAAAAAAATATTACTATGATAAATTTTAATAAAAAACTAGATGGTCTTGATAAATATTTCCCTGTTTAAAAAATCTATCTTGATTAGTTCTTGATTTGTTCTTGGCAAGGTAACATGCCTTTTGATGTAGAAGTTTGATCTCAGTTATGATAGATGATCACCTAGCACAGGGGTCCTCAAGCTATGGCAAGCGGGCCAGATGCTGCCTGCCAGAGGGACCTTAACCTAGCCCGCCTGGCTGTCGTATGGGGTGCTATGTAGGAGTGACAACAAGGAACTGGATTTTGACCATTTATTTAGCCAAAAGTGGGGCCCATACTTCAAACTGAAGCACTCATAACTTAATGTTTTTAAAATTTTAAATAAGTCTTTTTTTTTTTTTTTTTTTGCGTTACCAATATGTGCTTTGTGTATTGGAATTTATTCATATTTTTTCAAACTACAGTTTGACCCCAAAACAGTGAACCGGCCCCTGAATTAAAATCTTTGAGGAGTCCTGACATCACATTGTCATCCAACATAACATACCTTTTGGTGTAGTAGATTGATCTCAGCCATGCTAGATGAACACCTAGCACATAGTTTTGCCTGGTAGAAAGATGGTTGCTGCTGTAGCTTTAAAAGGTCAAGGCCAAGTTCCCTAAAATAAATATATAGAAAAAAAAAACATTAAAAAATTTCATGTACTCAATTCTTTAACAAAAAATCATGTGAGTTAAAGCTAACAATAGTTTAACTACCATCCCTTTATTTAATTTTCTCATGATAATTTTTTTTATCATACAAAAATGGTAATTTTGTTATAAAATGTCTTAATATTTATTCCCTTTTTGAAAGAAAAATTAATCACCATTTTCCTAATGCTTCACATCTTCTAGACAAGAGCTCTATCACCACATCTGTTTGGCTGGTAGCACCACCCAGCACCAAGCCTGTACTCAAAGCCAACTCCAGTTCATGGCCCCTGATCAGCTTTGAAATTGCTCTCTGGAAACAAAGGCAAGGAAATAGAGAAAAAAAAGAAGAGATTTTTTAATGGAAAATCCTTCAGTTTTAATCCAAAGAAGCATTGATCTGGAGGAGTTTTGTCTTTAAATTCAGAATATTTTACCAACTGGTTGAGCAAAAAATAATTTTTGGAATAAAGTTTTGAAAAAACTTGCAAGAAATAAAGATCGATTTTCTTTGCCCAACCAGCCTGATGACCAATATTTTATTTTGACCATTCTTGACAAATTGATATACTCAAAAGATTCAGGAGTTTGTATGTCAAGGATGTAATTCAACAGACATCTGATCAACCAAACTCGCTTATCTGATGTTTAGTAAGAAAAAAGGAAGCTAAAAATGAAGTTCTTAATCCAATACAAGGGCAGCAAATATAACCACAATTTTAACTATAAAATCAGCAGAGTGGATTCTCCAGGGGAGGTAAAGTACATTGTGCTCACTGCTGTAAAGAAAATAGTAAATAGTCTACAATTTTTTTTGCATATTTATTCTATCTATCTCTGTTTGATTGAAAAGTTAATCAATTGATTGATTAATTGATTGGGTGTCTTACCTTTTGATCATCAACAGCCAAGTGGCAGCAAGCAGCCAGTGTTGGTGACCCCTGGTCAAAGTAGAAGTCAGACAAATTCTCCATCACCTCCACTGTCAATCTGATATTATCATTAAAATTTATCTCACGCCAAATTCAACAGCTGGCAGTTCGGATTTCGTTTGAAAAGAAAATGTGGATAGAAGTACTGGTAAAAGTAGATTTTCTCAACTGTCTTTACAATGTAGATAGAAGTGCTGGTAAAAGTAGATTTTCTCAACTGTCTTTACAATGTAGATAGAAGTATTGATGAAAATAGATTACCTTTATTTAATGTCTCTAAAGTAGTGGTTCTCAACCTTCCTAATGCAGCGACCCTTTAATACAGTTGCTCACATTGTGGCAACCCCCAACCTTAAAATTATTTTCCTTGCTATTTAATAAAAATGTGTTTTCCAATGGTTTTAGGTGACCCCCTCTGTAAGGGTCATTTGACCCCCCAAGAAGTCATGGCCCCAAGGTTGAGAACCACTGCTCTAAAGTAAGCCCCATAAGCATATAAAGTGTTCTTTGTAGAGAATAAAGTGACATGAACACATTTCCAATACCATCCCCTGTTTAAAACTGTTAAATGCAAAGTTTTAATATATTAATCGATTTTAAAATCTATTCTGTTAGTGACATCTCCGACAAAGAAATGTTAAAACCAAGCAGGACAACTTGGTTGTAATGAGAGTGCAAATGACTCTTTGGAAATATTTCTCTTCTCTTCTAGGCCATCTTGCATCTCAGAACTTTTACTACCGGTAATAAATATTAGGATGTCATTTGTCACATCTTTCTAGCTTCATCTTCACCCCACAACATGATTAAAAACTAAATTTACCTATTTAATGAGCCAGCCTCTTCAGGAATTCCGGGTGAGGACCTTTCTCTGATATCAGTCACAGGAACCTTTATAGAACCTTCACAAGCGCTCTCAGCAATCACCGCTGCGTCTGACAGTTGGCCTCGTGAGGTGAAAAATGACACGAGCTCTTTGATGTTGCCAGCAGCTACATTGAAAGGGAGAGCATCGTCATTGTCTCCAGCCAAAAGGGCAGCGCAATACCTTTAGGTAAAAAAAATAATAATTTACCATCATTAACTGAAACAAAAATTAAAAAAAAATGATGATTTAAAGAGTTCTATTTAAAAAAAAAAACTTGATAAAAAGTTTAGTTTAACCACATTCCAAGAATTCAATTTATTTTATGGTAAAAACTCATCTAAAAACAAAGAAGCAAAGCTTGTATTAATACATTTTATTTCTTATCTTTAGGTATCAAGACTTATGAATAGTGTTTGCTTATCTTAATATAAGCAATAAATAAATAATGTTACGCATTGTTAAAAATATTAGGAAGATATATATCGTAAATTATGTGAATGAAAGCCCTAACACTGTTGATAGCAAAAGAATTTTAGAGGCAGGCACCTACCTAATCAACCTAGAGATGTACAATGTACATGTTCAAGCATACAGTTTTCATCATGATTGAATATTTCAGTTGTTTTCATTGAAAGTTGATGTTTAATTACATGGTTAACACTGTCTTATGATCTGAACTTTGATAAAACTATTTGTTAACACTGACATGCTGAACTTTTGGTCATCTAACTGTTTAGTGATGGTTAGAAGTGCAGTCCATTCTTTGGTAGAATTTTAAATAATTTTTAATTTTTTTTATTTACCTCTGATTCAATTTATGCCAATATTTCATAGAAACAGATGGCGCTATAGCCAGTGCTCTTTCCCACTGTCGGAAAAAACAAATATATTAGAATGTTTAGTAACAAGGTTAAAAAAAACAAAAAAACTAAAAATGAAGTTCTTAATCCGATACAAGGGCAGCAGTTTAAATTTAACCACAATTGTAACCATAAGATCAGCAGATGCATTAATCAACAAAAAAAAAAAAAAACTTATTTGAGAATTTAATTGGAATTAACCCACTCCTGCCTAGCATACTCTTGATTTAAATTTTCACTTCTGTCTTGGAAAAAGGGAAATAACTGTATTTGTATAAAATTGCTTTTAAAAAAAAATTAAACAAATTAAGTGTAAATAAATAAAAAACAAAAAATGAAATTCTTAAACCGAAACAAGGGCAGCAGTTTAAATTTAAACACAATTGTAACCATAAAAACAGCAGATGCATTAAACAAAAAAAAAAAAAAAAACTGATTTGAGAATTTAATTGGAATTAACCCACTCCTGCCTAGCATACTCTTGATTTAAATTTTCACTTCTGTCTTGGCAAAAGGGCAATAACTGTATTTGGATACAATTGCTTTTAAAAAAAAATTTAACAAATTAAGTGTAAATTAAATAATCATGCTAAAAAAAATTTGTACATCTGGGACAACTGTTACATTATAATATCTGAGCATGGGTACACATCTGGGACAACTGTTACATTATAATATCTGAACATGGGTACACATTGGTAAATGTTCACAGGTTCACTTCCATCACAACGTTCACAACACTCATTTGGCTTTAGAATGTGTCAGCTGCATAAAATTATTATTTTAAAAATAAAAATTTATTTAAAGAGTAATACTATGTTCTGACTTCACAGACCCACCTTTCCTAACTCTACCATCAGCTCACAGTAACGCTGTGTGTTGCCCAGTTTCACGTGGATTCTTGCAGCTTCATTCAGTCTCTCTTCTTTACTTGGGGCTCCAATGCCGCCACCAAATTTGGACATCTTTATCATCTCCAGCTGCTGGGCTTCAGACTGGAACGGACAGTCACAAAAAATGATGCTTGGAACAGACATATACGACAAATTTTAATGATGCATGGAACAGACACATACAACAAATTTTAATGATGCATGGAACAGACACATACAACAAATTTTAATGATGCATGGAACATACACATACAATGAATGATGCATGGAGACATACACATACAACAAATTTTAATGATGCATGGAACAGACACATACAATGAATGATGCATGGAGACATACACATACAACAAATTTTAATGATGCATGGAACATACACATACAACAAATTTTAATGATGCATGGAACAGACACATACAATGATGATGCATGGAGACAGACACATACAACAAATGATGCATGGAACAGACATATACAACAAAGGATGCATGAACTGTAGTTAAGTTGAAATATTTCTAACTCTGTAGTGTTGACATTTGCTGAGCTGTTAAAACTTTATTAGACTTACAACAAGAATCTAATTTTTTTCAAACTTAATAATAACTTCATAAATAAAGAGTTTCAAAAGAACTTGAACCTGCAACCATAACATACAAGCTATATTGGCTACATCTCAGTTAAGTAAAGACAACTATTTAAGGGACACAGCTGCATCATACTAGGGTACGACATTTACAATTTTTTTTAACCCTGATGAGATCGAGCCTCTTTGAACTGTCTGTGCCAAAAAGACAGAGCTGTTTTCACAAGCCCTGCAGTAACATTGAAAAAAAATTTATAACAAAATAAACTAATTACTTTACAAATATAAAACTATATATATTCTTGTAGGGAGTTGAATAAACATGCAACCTTATGAATCAAACTGAAATTTCAACGTTTATGCAAATGAGATATGAGATATTCTGATATACTAAGAATAAAATTGCCTTTCTTGCAAAATTTTGTTAAATTTTATGATTGTCGAAGTCTAAATGAGTTCTAACCCAAATTTGAAGGAGATTCAATGTGGAAAAACTGCATAAAATATTCCCCTGGGGCTGCTTATGCTTTTTGGCATATTTCAAGGTCACATATTTTTTAAGCATTTATATGGGTTATTAAAAAAAATGATATAAATGAAATAACACCATAACATATCAATGGGAGCAGCCATTAAAATGGCAAGATGAGCTAGAAATGCAAGAAGTAATCTGATTAACTGGTATGAAGACCAGCCAGCCAATCATGAGGCTTGTATTATTGGGACGATAGATCAGCCTTTCATATTATTTGTCTCCAAGTATATTATTTAAAAAAAATAAAACTAATTCCAACATTAAGATATGCTGCCAAACACACAATTTGACTGTTGATTAAACACAAATTAACATAAGGTACTAACCCCTTTGAACTGTGTAATGTGTTTTCTGTGAACAATGCCATGAGCATAAGAGAAGGATAACATGAGCGTGTCACGACCCAAGATGACAGACACCAGGTCCCACAAGTTGTTGGTCCCACAAGGATGCTGAAATGACAAAATATAGTACACACTGTTTGTCTTACAAAGAAGACGTATTCATCCTTATTCCCTTAAATACATTGATGGATTCACATGTCCACAGCGTTAGTTCAGGATAAACAAACCTTCCATATATGTAGCCTTACGAATTCCAAATTTTCAAAATAAATAAACGTATAATACAAAAACAATGAAGAAGGCTCTAGGAAAACAATGAAGAGAAAAGATGCAAGTTCCCTTTACAATCCTATACCTGTCAGTCTAAATGAAAAATAACAATTTCTTCCTCAGTCAAGAGTGAGAAAAATTGAACATTCCTAATTCTGAAAGATATTTTACATATTAAACCAAAATAATCTTACATCAAATATTAGTTTGTGATAACATCACATATTACTTTTAAAAAAACTCACAGAAAAAAATTTGGAGAAACCTTCGAGTAATGCTTTATGTGAGCTGCTTCCTTTCTGGCATAAATTACTGTAGAGGTCTTTGGATGTTCTGCCGGCCAACACATTTGTGGATAATGCACCAGATGGTGCTGCTGATTTGATTCAAACAGATATTTATGCATAAACTTTTAAACTTAATTTTTAGATATTTTAATGATTAACAGAATGTTTGTTGAAAAATGAAAAATTAGCAGCCAAATGATTCGATTTTACATGTCCTATAGCATTTTTAAAAAAAAGTTATAAATTGTCAACAAAAGAAAATATAGTTTAGTCAGTTGAAATCGACCATGACCACTTGTATCATTGTATTTGTGTTAGCTATTTTGTTGGCTGTGGGTGCGCAGAACGCTCATGAGACATGGTATGGCATGAAATGTTCTTGTGCAGTAAGTGAAGGGGAGTAATGAGAAATCTCAATGTGCAGAGTGGACCCAGGCTTTTCTGGTACGTCTTTTGTGCTTTGCAGCCATTGTTCTTTTGGCTTCATGTTTTATGAAGCCCTTGTGTAAAAGGAATGATATGATGCGAGATCCTTTGCCAATTCTTTCCATGTGCTTGGGTCTATTTTGAATGCTTATAGTATGGCTTTTAAGCTGTCAATAATATATCCATTAGTCAATGCACTCTTCTAAAAAACATGACCTCAGACTTTTACTTGTCTTGTTGTCAACTATGTGAACATACACTGTCACAACAGATAGAAAAACTAGATACTGGATCATTGAAATGAATGAATATAACTTATTTAAAGCAGAAAGTAGTTCCATGTCTCATATCAATCAAACTTACCCCCTACAGCCCCCATCTCTGCCCAAGGCCTCCCTGCCAGTATGTGTAGCTCTATGGGCTGTACCAATGATGTGATGGACCACAGCCGCACTGTGGAGTCTCGGGATGATGAGGCAAGCAGGAACGGGCGATCAGGATGAGATGTTAGACCTGGACGGACCAATCCTTCATTAAATATCTCAATGCCCTTAGTGCCCCCTTGTGCTACACAGGAGTCTTGTGATCTCAATCCCCTTAGTGCCCCTGTGCTACACAGGAGTCTTGTGATCTCATTGCCCTTAGTGCCCCCTTGTGCTACACAGGAGTCTTGTGATCTCAATCCCCTTAGTGCCCCTGTGCTACACAGGAGTCTTGTGATCTCATTGCCCTTAGTGCCCCTGTGCTACACAGGAGTCTTGTGATCTCATTGCCCTTAGTGCCCCCCTGTGCTACACAGGAGTCTTGTGATCTCAATGCCCTTAGTTCCCCCCTGTGCTACACAGGAGTCTTGTAATCTCAATGCCCTTAGTGCCCCCTTGTGCTACACAGGAGCCATGCAATTTAAACTGCTATGTTACCATTAACATAAAAAATATGCTCAAATAGCATACAACACAGAGAAGCAGCATATAATGATGTTTCCATGTAATTAATATAGGTATCTGATTTTGTTGGTGGATACTTATTTTTTAAAGCCACTCCCATTTATATCATTGTGGTAACCTACATGGGCGCCCGCAGAAAACTTTCTAGGGGGGGGGGAGCAAAAATATCAATTTACTTTCCGGGGGGGGGGGGGGGAAATTTTTTTTAGAAATTTTAATTTACTGTAGCGTATTTGTATGGTGAACGAACGGACAGGACATCAGCTTAGTTACTTTCTCTTTATTTTCTCTTTACTTTAATACATTTTTTGTCTATTTTTGTCTTAAAATTTTGTATCCAATCAATCCAGGGGGCCAAGTGCCCCCACTTGCCACTACCTGCGGGCGCCCATGGTAACCTATTAGTTCAACCTTTGACCTCAAGGGGGGACTTAACCCTCAAAGCACCGTGGTTATTGTTCATAATAGTACAGGGTGTCTAAAAATATTAAGAAAATAAAATAATAGATGTTTTTCATTATATAATTCTATTCTCTATTTCATGTGTGTATTATCTATTTCATGTGTATATTCTCTATCTCATGGGTGGTACAAGTAAGCTCTGCATTTAATCAACTTACCATAAACATCAGCCCCATGATCTAAAATGCAGTGTAGACACGCCCCATCCCTAGTGTCCCAAATCCTGATGCTGAAGTCCCAGCTACCGGAGGCAAGTATAGTGGCCACCTCTGAATTCCAGGTGAGTCCCCGCACAGGAGCAGTGTGACCAGTTAGTACTCGGATACACTGATCTCGTGTGTAGTCCCAGATTCTTATGTGGCTGAGTGTAGCAATGAGTTTCGTGTTATGAAAGAGTTAGTGTAGTGGGCATCATGGGTGTCAAGGCACATAACTATTAGTTGACATAACCAATCATGGCAGCTACATATTACCTGTCATATCCAGTCAAGGCAGTCATGTATAAGTTGACATAACTAGTAAAAAAATTTGCATTATTTTAAAATATTCATTTGATTTTCACCTGATTTATTACCTGGGGTCTAATGACACATAATAAATAAGCATAAAGAATTAGGCCAGTGGGAAGAAAATCTGACTATTTTCAATGGTGATCCATGGGAATAACTCGGTAAAGACAACTTTTTCACTTTGTTATCTACGATTTATTTTTATCTATTTAAAGCATAATTTTACAATGTTTTTCAAATATGAAGGGATTTTCTTAAACTGGGATCTATGGACTTGGTGAAAGAGTCTGGGATTTGGAGAGGGGAGGGTCAGCCAGTTGATTTCGAATTGTATTCAAATTTACCAAGATAAGGAACAATGTACTCTAAAATTCTCAGGACATCAGCTGTAGAATAAAACTTTAATCATTTGATCAGCATCCATGCATGACTTCATATGCTAGAGCCCAGAGATTTTTCTACAAGTGGATAAAACTAATGTGACTACTCACCCATCATCTGAACCACTGCACAAAATGCCTTCTAACAAGGGATTCCATCTCACGTGGAAAACCTTTGCCTCATGCCCTGCAATTTTCAATGCAATTATAAAATTTCTATTTTGTGTAGGAACATTGGATTAAAAAAAGGACATAAAAGTGCTAGAGAAAATTGAAAAAATAACCCAGGGGTTGAACTTCTAGCCCCCTGAAGTTAGGGACTGCTGATATTTCTGTGAGGCTTATTGTTTATATCTAACAAGAGCAATTCATGCTAACCTATGCTGACTAAATGCCAAATGCAGTAAAAGTCTTCCCAGTAAACTACTGATCTAATTGAAATGATTGTGTTACTTGCATACAAAGTTACAAATTGCTTGCATTTAACAAAATATTTAATGATTATATTTTTTAGAGTAATGCATCTTCTCCATAGTTCGTCTTATGTGAGGATCCATAAACTTTGTGCATGATAAAATTTGTTCACATTCTTCTGGTGCAACTGATAATTCTTTTACTAGCAAAACTTGTATTGTGAAATGATGCTATGGAAAACACGTGTAAGGCATCTCATTTAAAAGGCAATTCTTAAAAAGTTGAGGAAAAAAAATGATTATATATGTAAGCTATATTAAATTCCTTTATTGTTTATAGTTGTTAAATTCAAATAACCACTGTACTCAAAAAACGTTAAAGCCAAAAATTACTAAAACTAGATAATGTCGGTAAAAACAGCCTCCTCTAGATTTTACCTGTAAAAACTCGAATAGGCTGGTTAGAACTGGATGCCAAATAATAAACTCTCAAAGCCTTGTCTTCACATCCAGTGGCCAACATGTCTCTGTTCAAATTAGTTTACAAAAAAAAATATCTTTAGCTATAGTCATAATAAAACTGAGCTGGGCAGATACAGGAACATCCAACAAAATATCCTGCACAAAAATTCAGCTATGAGACACTTCCAGATCACTCAAATTGTTGGTGACTTGGGAAAGTCAAGGTTGAAATTGATGCTCTAGACCAGGGGTGGCCAAGCCAAAAGACTTTGCAGGCCACTTTGATAGCAAGTAAACAGTTCACAGGCCAATTTGAAGGTAAGTAAACAGTTTGCAGGCCATTTTGATGGCAAGTACACAGTTTGCTTGTCACATGCCATTACACCTTATATCAAAATATTTTTTAACAACACCCATTAAAGACGGTATAGTAAAGATTATAAATTCTTAATGCACATAATGAAGTAATACATAAAGAAAAGAATACAACTAAAACTAATGTGATATCATTTTATCTTTCCTCTCATTTAAAATTGATTTCTTTGTCAACTGAATGAAGAACGAATAAGTTTATTTGTTATAAATCAGGCATCTGCTTGTTACAATAATTTTGTGACAGAATGGCGGCCCACAGGTTGGCAACCACCACTGCTCCAGAAAAAGAGCCATTTCGGAGCCCTGCAAGTAGACCAGCGTTTAAATCTAGCATCTCCCTGGCTAGTCCGACAGATCTCTTCTCATCAAATATAGTGCCCGTGAACAAAGTACAGACCACAGTTTTCAGATTCTTAAAGCACAAGTTTTGTATCTCTTACATAATTTATCTGCAGCACCACTCAACAGATTCAAGTCATAAAGTGTTAACATGAATGATTGAAACATCAATACAAATCTCTACCCCAGTTTTAGTTTGATTTCTATAAGTTATTTCAAAATTAGTTAAAATATATTTGATTAATTAAGCAGTTATATAGAACAGGACTGACTCCATCATAAAAATAAATTTATTGGCAATAATGAATAGCTGGTATAAAACATCCCTCACTTGCTAAAGGGACTCCAATCACAACCATAGACTGGACCTGGATGTTTGTATCTCTGGACAACTTGGCCATCAACATGTTGAATTATACTAGAAATAGAATTGAGCTCAATCAATTCACAAAAATAATTTTAAAATGTGTTGTACAAATGATAAAAATAAAAGAATTCTGGATTTCAGAAACTATTTTAAAATGCAGAGGTTAGTGATAGCAATAATAATTCTTTGAACTAGGTGTGCAATTTCAAAATAATATGTTTTTAAAACTCAAACTTTATCTGCAATGGATGCAAAGTCCATTCATGATTAATAGGGATGATGCAGATATTTCAATATGATAAGAAATGAAAAGTATAAGTCCCACATTGAAAATTAAAATAATAACTAAATAAGTCATGCATCAGTCATTAAATTTGGAGTTGTTCTGAATAGGAAAGCTTATTTTTCTTTATAAATTATTGATAAAGCGAAATTGTGAATAATAATAGCAACAAATAAATTTTAAAAATGTAACTAAATAAAGAACATAAATCCACTTGATTGTTAACAGCAGTAAATAAGTTTAAACAGCATTTAAACATTTTTGGTATTTTTTGGTTTTTAATGGTGCTAATGAACTATTAAACATACCAAAAGCTGTCTGCCCCACATGTCATGATAACCTTTGAATCTGATTGGTTCCAAGCAACACAGTAAACATTGGTTTTAGGTGCATGCTGGGAGGAGCAAGTTTTGACAAATTAATTAACATATTAATTTTTGTCCTCATAAACACATGAGAGACACACAAAAAACAACATGACATAAAAGTGTAAAAACATGTTATTTAGCGTAGTATTTTCAGGGACATTTTTGTTGTTGTTGGGTACAGATTTGACAATTATCAAATTTTCAAAGAGAGTAAAATAAAATTTGGAATTTTCGCTAAGTTCGGACAATTCTAAAACATACAGTGATTTTGATTATGAAAAAAATGTATGATAAAATAATGTGTCACAGTCATTGTGTTGAGTACAAGAGATATCATGGAAGATGATTTAGGCAGTTATCCTTAAGGAATATTCAAGATAATGTAGCAGTTCTCTGTAAGAATTAACATACATTGTTTAACCTTTTGATGATCTTGCCTTTCTTCGCATCCCAGATGAATGCACCATTCTTGGCTGTGCATGCTGCTATGCATTCCAGGTCAGCTGGAGCCCATGAAATGTGGTAGATGACACCCTCATTGCCAGCAAATGATAAGATCTAAGGAAATGTGAAGATTGACACCCTCATTGCCAGCACATGGAATGAACTAAGGACATGTGATAGATCATACCCTCACTGCCAGGAGATGATTAGAGCTAAGGAAATATAGGAAATTAATCACCATAAAGCTTATAAATTTATTATTCCAAATTATCTCTGGATTCGTTCAATTCCTTTTCATTTCTAATGAAACCAAAGAGTTTTTCCTTTAAAGTGTGACTATTATTTTGTTGTATTTCAACAGGGGGGGCCACCCATAAAAGACATTCTCCACCCAGCAGGAAAAGGGAAGATTGACACACATTTTTGACAGTCTGTGACTTCCTTGACTGGTGACCATTTGTGATGATGGGGAAGGTGGGGGTTTAAAAATCTGCAAAATTAGTGCGGCATCATTTATGGCTGCCCATAATGCATCAGTCTAATTTAAGGTACTTTGATGAATACACCTGCATAATGAGATATTAGTCTAAGAGAAAAATAATGACCTTCATAATATTCCTTCATTCAAAATTTTAAGAGTCAGATGAAAACATTCAAACCCCTTAAGCAGTCTTAGCCTTTAAAGTAAAGATATTTCATTAAACATAAATTCAAACTAAAATGTTTATTTTGAGTTTTCTGGTGTATTAAATAACAAAATTATGGGTAGAATATTGCAATATATAAAATGTTGACAATGTCACGTAGATGTTATGTAATACTCACACAAGTCATTGTAGTCACATCCCAGATTTTTATTGTTCCATCAAAACTTGATGTTGCCAGATGGTCTGGATTATCCGGTTTGAATTTGCAATCAAATATAGTTTCTATATGGCCCTGAAAAAACCCAACAGAATTCATTCTCCAAACAACTTTTTATTTTTATGAAATGTATATTTAAAAAAAAATAAGTACATATTATGTTTTTCAAGTTGAAACTACATTTAGGCAATTTATAATTATTATTTTGATTGCACAAGGCTTCCTTTCTTTAATATTTTTTCAATGAAACTGAAAATTAAAAAAAACAAAAACTTAAAATTATGTACCATAATTATTACAAATAAGTTACTTTTATATGGACTTTTAAAGACCACCTCTTTAATCATTCATGTGATGAACTTAAAATAAGACCATCTTAATATAGATCTCTATGCAGATACAAAGCCTGTAAGAGAGCTATAAAAATGAAAACAAAAGCTTGGTTTTAATAAGCAACATTTCTGAAATGGACAAGCAGAACTATGCTGGACAATTTTAAGAAAAAAAGTAAACATAAATTTTGAATTCATAATGATGATTTATTGTGAAAAATGTGCCGTTGCTTATTATAAATGATTTTAATATAATTAATTCTATCAAAACAGCAGAAATTATATTGTTATAATTAAGTTACTGGATACTTTTGGATTTGGATACTTTAGCTACAAAGATAAATATAAACAACAAAACAAAATTTACCTGATCTCTAAGAAATGTCCAACGTTTATGACCAAGATCATACAGTCCCACACCCCCATCTTTAAAAGTACACACAATCTCTGCATGGGGAAGTGCAAAATTGGAAAGTGTAGTTATCGCTGGTGACTGGGCTTCACTTGTTGATGAAATCTGGCAAGGATTGAATAAAAATAAAATGACTTAATGTATTTTAGTAAGCTATGAAAACACATCTCATCTTATCTATTTTTAAATCCTTTATATTATCTTCGCTTTTGTTCTTGGGTGGCTGGCTGGCGCGTAAAATCTTTGGATGGCTGATTGACCCACTTCCAATCAACCTATCAAGTGGAAACGTGGCACAGACTTGTTGCAGACAGCAAAACATTCTATCAAATTTTCAGCCCCACCCCCCTAAAAGTTAGTTTTTACAAAGGGAAGATAAAATAAGATTCTCAATAACTGCTCTAAATGAAATTCGTTTTTGAAAATTCACGCAAGTGCAATTGGTACGTAATATTTTCTTTGGTTTTTTCTAAAATTGTTGGTGAAATAAATCTGCGGTGCAAAAGTGGGTGGGTCGTTAGAATATTAATATAGCTCAGGGTGTGAAAAAAATATGTGATTGCGAGTCTTGAGGGGTGGAGCACTAATTGGGATTCTTTTAAAGTGCGTCACTTGTATGCATGTTTTGTCAAATGTTCATCCCCACCCCCATTGCTCGATATGACATTTTATAAAGGATTTATACGGAATTTTTTGTTATTAAGGATTGTTTAATTATAACATATTATGCCTGCTTCTTTCTTAATTTTAAATATTAAAATAGAAATTAAAAAATATATTTAAAAAAAGCAATATATATATATAAAATATCATAAGCTGTTTTCTTGAAAATTATTAGCAAAAATAAAAGAGAAAAAAATCACAGATATTTATTAAAAAATTTGCTCATTATTTTGATATTTTCATTAATTAATGAACAAGTTACCACTTACATGGTGATTAGAATTCTCGTTGGTGATGGCTGCCTCCCCCACATTATGTCTTTGTATTTCTGTATTCTTACTGTGGCTAAGTACATCAAGATGGTGGAAACCAGTAGCTTTGATTTTGATATTTTCCAAGGGAGTACTGTTGGACACACTCCAGACTCTCAAAATTCCTCCCTTTATATCTAATATGAAATAAAAGATGAAGAAAAGTTTTGCCTTAGTCACACTCAACACAACATAGAAAAATTGGTGTTGACAACTTTAGTATTTTCTACCTTAATATTCCCGTTAACTCATTACTATTAAAAGCTGAGCATTTTTTTTGTAAATGGTGTTCTGGAAAACTATCTTATAAGACAGTGGTTCTCAACCTTTCTAATGCCGCAACCCTTTAATACATTTCCTCATGTTGTGGCGACCCCCAACCACAAAATTATTTTCGTTGCTACTTTATAACTGCAAAGCATACTTGTTTTCCGATGGTCTTAGGCGACCCCTGGGAAAAGGACGTTTGACCCCCCCCAAAGGGGTCGCGCCCCACAGGTTGAGAACTGCTGTTATAAGGGAAATAATAACCCTAAGTGACCTGTTAATGAATATATATGCTTTAGAAATCCTGCATTAACATTTCATGTTTTAGGCTTTTTACAGTAGCAATTTTAAAAGAGAAAAGGGTGTGCACAATTAACATTATGAATTAAAACTATTGTTATGTTTTATATGTTTTTATATCCAACAATAAACATTAACATAAATATACATAAATACAAGTTCTCAATAATGTTGACTTTCTGCTTGCTTCCGGAACACATTGTTCATTCACACACTCTTTCTCACTACAGTCTCCGCGCATGCACACTGTTTGATCTAGTGTTTATCAGGACGGTCGGTCCGTTAGTCCACTTTAACAACTAGTAATTGCAAAAACTGTAATTTCCAACCTTTTTTAAACATTTTGCCCTAACCCCCCCTCTCATCATATTTAGGACCACCGGTCAAATTTTAGTTCTGTTAATTGATACAAATCTTCTCTACCATTTTAATGTTTAATTATAATATAGCACTCTAACCTCCAGTGATAAACATCCCTGGTGCATTTTTCACCCAGGCAAGTGTTTGAACGTGTGATGCTGCACTGGGCAGTTGGAAAAACATGACCACCCTCTGATTGGGAACATCCACCAGGCGAACTCCTTGAAGCTGGTTGCAGATGAGGAGATAATCTGAGGACAGGGGGTCCCACTCTAGGGCAATGATAGGATCTGACATTTCTTCATCATTGCTTGAAACGTCTGGTTTAAACATATGCTTGTGTGCTTTTGAACCTGAATAGGAAATTGATTTGATCATTTAAAATATTGCTGGCCCCGGGGAGTAAATAAAAAATAGAGTAAATTTGTTTCATTCAAATACCATTAAAACTTGAGCTAATGTAAAGTTTATATATTATTGTTATAAATTTTCTAAAGAAAATGTTAGTTATAAAATAATTATAAATTTAAGTGGCCAAAGTCTGAATACAAAATGATCTTTATTAATAAAATATGAAATATTCATGAATTTAGAGACTAAAACTAAACTGGGGATAGATCTATTTATTGCTTGGTTGCAACATTAGTTTATTCAATGACTTAAAAAAAATAACAAAAAAAGACTATGGTTACTCATGATATTTTTGTCCCAGCAAATCAAGATATCTCAGTCAATATGTAATTATTTTTAAAAAATATGATTCAGAATGATAGCATTGTTTTTACTACATTATTATTTTTTTGTAATATTCAATAGATATATATTAACAGCTACAATACAAATTTAATTTTATGTGAAAGAAATTCAAATAAATGGATGTATATCATAGACAGATTATTCATGCAAATAAAAGAATAAACTCCAATACATTATGATAGAAATTTGCATTGAGAAATGTATACAGAAATTTTCGTAGAGAAATGTATGAAAAGATTTTTAACAAAAAGGGGGATTATTGGAAGAGAGATTTAAAATAAGTTTATAAAAATCAAGTTTTGTCAACAATCCCAGATTTAAAAACAAAAAGAAAGTGAACCTCCTCAATATCCTTCTGATAGGTAAATAACCTTACAATGTTTATAATTTGGTTTATATTTTATGGATGGTGAATGCCTATGATTGATGCAGATGTTATTGTAAGGCTTATTGTCTTTTGACAACCAGCTTTTTTTAATCATGTTTATTATAGAAATATATATTCAAAATGAAATTGTAATAAAATGCTATTCAGACGTTATTTACAAAACTCTCTTGAGAAAGCAGTTATAAGAAGATGGAAATATTCTAATTCTCTAGTTTGGATCATTGTGATTTAAAATTGTTTACATGAATAAACTAATGAATCAAAATAAATATATTGGCATATATATGTTGAAAAGAAAAGAATTAAAAATAATATTATAAAAAGTAATTGCAGTATAATATAGTGGGGCCCAATTTATTAGTGATTTAATTTGACTAATTTGAAATTATAACTTTTTTTCAATTGCAAGTTGTATGTTCAAGTCTGTTCATTTAATTTTCTTTCTTAAATTTAAATAACTGGTTTTTTAAAAACTATTCAGTTCTTTTTAAATCATTAAAACTAAATTGTTTTGACTTGAAAAGATTACCTTAACAATAAGTGAAATGTTTCTTAATGGTTCATCCAATGAAAAAATATATTAATTTTAAAAATATGCATGCTAAAAGTTATTAAAGAGTTAAAAAACATGCGTCTTTGGATCATACTTTTAATCAATTGATTGATACGCAAGGCTACTTATTTATCTTATAACACTAGAGGTAATCTTTAGTGCTATTTATATTAATTATAACACTAGAAGTAAGCATTAGTGTGTGCAATTTTCTTGCATGACATATAAAATATATTTTTATTTGATTTTGGATTCATGTATCATAAACATACAAATTTTGAAGTACATAGACCTAATATACTAGAGTGGTGAAGTTGTTTCCATTAATTTATATAGGACTTCAATTGAGGAATATAAAGCAGTACAATGGATGGTAATATGTCAATTAAGATTCAAAACCAACCTTGAAAACAGTCATTGTTATCTACAGAAATTGCTTTAATAGAACAAAAAATATATTACTAGGAAGACTGAATTTAAAAATGGTCATCCAGACCATAATCTATAAAATCATATTGTATTAATTTAAATTAAAATAGAGCAGCATTATTATTTTGTTTAAATTACTAGAATTATATTAAGTTTAAAAAAAAAAAAATAAATAAAATAGGACATTTTAGGAAAATGGAATTCTTTTCTTTCCATGTAGGCAATGTAGCATTATTTAATTATTTGAACTAATTTAGATGAGCACATATTTTACTGTAGGAAAGAGATAGATTTATGAGATGAAATGTGACATTGGAAAGTCTTTTAAAAATTTGACATATTAGAAACATATTGAAATTAAATTCTGACAGAACTTCAACTTTAAAATATCCACTCAATTAAAAAAATAATCTCAAATCTGAGGTGCTTAAATTTGCTATTTGAGAAATAGCTCGTGGCAGTGGTATAGCTACTGCACTGGTGGATAGAGACACTAATAGATATTCAAATTAATAACTAGTTTATTCTTACCAATTTCCAGTACTGAGACTGACCCATCATCATGCCCAAATGCTAAACATGACTGCTTCTCGTGATGCCAGCGAAACATTGTGACATAAGAGGAGAAACTTTGGGTTTCTTTCACCATGGACAGATTTTTACTGTTCTCAATATACCATAACCACAGTGGTCCACTTTTACTCATAAAGCTTAGGCACTGACGTCCACCACAGGCCCAACCTGTACAAAATATGGGTTCTTTGCTGGTATACCTAAAAAATTGTTAAAATTATGAAAACATATTTTTGGTTAGGTAAACATAGTTTGTATTTTCTTGTATTCACAAAATTTTAAGAATCATTTTTTTGGGGTTTTTTTTTGTGTGAATGAAGGGAAAATTGTGTACTTTGTAAAATGATCCCATAAGGAGATGAATCAATTTTTTCATTTATTAACCTAGGAGTAAGTGCACAAATTTATAGTAAATAATGAATGAATGGAAAAATGAGTTCATTTTTTAAATTATTTTAAAAAGATTTTTAATTTAAAAACATTTTATTTTTAATCATAAGAACAAAAATATGCTCAATTTAAGGATTATCATGTTTATCTTGTCATTTAAACACTTATCACACATAAATTCTCTTGTAAAATTGAAGTTTCATTTAAAAATAATTAAAGTCATCAAATATGGACTATGTGAATAGTATTAGAATATATTACAAGCAGATTTTGTAACAGTATCATAATTTTAAGCTAATGCAAACAAATTCTTCAGCATTCTTGATTAACAATTTTTAAACAATAAATTAAAAAATATGACATTGTCATATACACTGCCTAATGCCATTTTTTTTTACATTCTCTAAAATCTGAAATATTATCAAAACTGCAGTTCACAGCATGTTAAGGAAAGTTTACTTCACAAAGTAATGACATACTGACCTTACAACTGTTTGCTGTTTCATTACATCCCAAACTATAACATTCCCATCAACACTTGAACTGGTTAAATAAGTTGGTTTCTCAGGGCACCAGCAAATTGATGTAATTGTTTTCTTATGCTCCGACATGATGGAAAATAGTTGATACTGATGTTTTTGATCAACCTGAAAAAGATTTTAACATGAGACCAAACTGTGCAAAAAAAAAAAAAAGAAAAAAAAAAGTAAATATCCTACTTATATGCTTGATGGAAACTAGTTGATACTGATGTTTTTGATCAACCTAAAAAAGATTTTAACATGAGACCAAACTGTGCAAAAAAAAAAAAAGAAAAAAAAAAGTAAATATCCTACTTATATGCTGACTTTTAGTAAAATCCCAGGAAAATTATTAGTGATCTCAATATTGAGATGTTTTTTTAATTACAATTAGAACTTCCATGCATAAATTTCATATAACACCAAGTATCAACTGTAATTTTGAAATCTCATAAGAGGGATATCTATTATGCCTAATGCTTTTAGTGAATGGAGAATTAGAACAAAGTAAAAAATAATTGGTTTTATGTCTTCAATAAGTTATAGTTCAAAATAAAATTTAAGTAATTTAGCTGCAAAATTATTATTATTAGTGGTCTTATATAGCACGGTACCCCACCTTAGGGCTGGGCTCACCGCTCTGTACATAAAAATATTAGCAAAAGAGACATAATCATGACATTAAAATAAAATACATTTATGAAATAAATCACAGCGTTCAACAAAAAACAAAAACAACTGTATATTCACCCACCCACCCCAGAACTTTTACAAGGCAAACCATGGATAGCAGCCAGCGAGATCGTTTATCAGTCAGGAGGGGAATCAGTCAGGGTAGTATAGTTTAGAAATGTGTTTTGAGTGCAGTTTTGAAGGCCTGGGTGGTTGGTATATTGCGGATGTGTAAAAGTGTAGTGGCAAAGAATTCCATTGTTTGGGGGCGCAGAAAGAGAAAGATCGTTCACCATATGTTTTAGTGTGTGTCTTGGGAATGGACAGAATATGCGTGTATGCGGAGGAGCGAAACTGTCGAAGGGGTGAATAGACTGAAAGAAGTTTGGTTAGATTGGAAGGCCAGGAATCCGAGAAAAAGTTGTGACAGAGAACAGACAGCTTGTAGTCAATGCATGCCTGCATAGGGAGCCAATGAAGTCAGTGGAGTAGTGGAGTGACATGATCACGTTTTTTTGCCTTTAGAACTAGCCTAGCAGCTGAGTTTTGAACTTTCTGCAGTTTTTCTATGAAGTGTTTTGGTGAACCTGACAGAAGAGAGTTGCAATAGTCAAGACGAGAGAGAATAAGAACACAGAATAGAGTTTTTGTTGCACGAACTGTTAGGTAGTGGCAGATGGAGCTGATCTGATGGATAGCGGTGTATGCCGAACGACAAATGTGATAGATATGTTTATCAAGAGACAAGTTGTTAGAAAGAATGTAACCAAGATTCCTAATAATATAACCGAAAAAGCATATGCCAATCATTTATTATGATTATAAAGCTCAAGAACAAAAACAGATAGTTGTTTACTACAAAGAAGATTGTGATATAAAGAATGAGCTACTGGATTTCTGAGTCCAGGGTTAGAAAGACAACAATGAAAGTCAACAATATAAATTAATTGCAATTCAAATCACAGCCAGGGTTATTCTTGACAGTAAATTATTGTTAAAAAATTAATAAAACCATTTATTAACCTTGCTCTCAGGGCCGTCATGTGGGCAATACAATCCCTGCAATGGCCCTCAGATAATTAAGGAGCCCAAATTTTTGTGGCAAAAACTCTAACTAACTACTTTGAATACAGGGAGCACAAAAATGAAGACTCTCAGGGGGCATCTAAAGGTCATGCTTAAAGTCAAGGTGTCATAACCTCCAGACTTTTCCATGGACCTCCTCCGAGTTTTTCAGCTCTGTTGACAACCTGTTCTGATGGCAACCTGCTCTGGTGGCAGATCTCTGGTGCTATGAAGTTCTGATTGCAACCTGCTATTGTAACAATCTACTCTTCTAGCAACCTACTCTGATGCCAACCTGCTCTAGTGGTAACCTGATGTGATGCAAACCTGTTCTGGTGGAAACCTGCTTTTGTACATAAATTAGTTCTGTTTAGAAACCAACTCAAACAAACTCAAATTTGCAATTTTCCCTTTGATGTCATCCTCTGAAGGTGTCACAGGCTGTGATTCCTCCCCCCCCCCCACCCCATCCACACACCCCATAGTTCAAAAACTGAACAGCAGATATAAAATAAGGGATAAACATGTACAATAATTAGAATAATAAGTATTCCTCTGAAGGTGTCACCGGCTGTGATTCCTCCCCCCCCCCCACCCCATCCACACACCCCATAGTTCAAAAACTGAACAGCAAATATAAAATAAGGGATAAACATGTACAATAATTAGAATAATAAGTAACTTAATAATTATAAGAATGGGTTAAAAAATGAAATGCTTGCCTCATAAATGTATATTGCAAGGGTTGCACTATAAGCAAACCTATTGCCATGTGCTGCCACAACATCACGGTTCCAGGGTTGGCACCCGGCTGGAACAAGTGCAATTTGTCTCACCATTTCTTTTATCTTCTTCTATTAAAAATAAGAATCCGACTAGTAAATTAAAAATCATATAATTTATTGATATTATTATTATTAATGATATTGTTCTTAATGAAAACACATTTAATTAAAATAATTTGAATTTGAGAGTCTTTTAGTAACTTAAACATTATCTCTTATTAGTAATATGTCATTAATTAGTAGGACGAGGTTAGCCTGTAAAGATATTATTATTTACCTCCGATTCTTGAACTAAGCCTCACTTTATTGAAATCATGTTATTTGGGCATCGCAGGAAGTCACGTGATCAAACATTGAGCACTACGGAGATCTTTATTTTCTCTCCTTTCAAGAAGATGAATTGCTTTTAAAGAGTTTCATTGGATCACAGCAACAGCTGAGGCAAAATGGCAGCGTCTATGGTAAGAAATGACACACACCGACAATGAATTTTTGATAACTGCATATTTATTTATTATTAGGCTTGATTCAGTATTAAGGATAAGTATCAAATAATATTATTGAACCAAGCCGACGAGTAGAAACTAACAGGTCCCATATTTATGTTATATATATATAATAGCCTATATATCTTATACTTAGAGTTAGAGTATATAAAATATATGAAATTGATAATTATATTATTATTTATATCTAATTCACAAATCTAGCCTACTTTTTTCTGCCCACTTAAAAAAAAATAAAATAGTAGACTACCACCAAATGAAAGATAATTGAATGGATTATATTTGTGCAAACTTACTTCTTCAGTTTAACTAAAATAAACTACCACAAATGACATCCGAAAAGCATTGATTTTAGTCAGTTTAAAGGGACCAGGACACGCATAGCCTTTATTGATTTATTGGGACCTGGGTCCCTTTAGACTCAATGCTATTCAGATTTCATTTTGGTAGTTTATTTTCGTTAAACTGAAGAAGTAAGTTTACAAACATATAGTCCATTCAATTATCTTTAATTTGATACCAAAATTTTGTCAGGTTTACAAAATCTTACAACCCAACAATAATATTTTTTATATTTTTTTTATCCTGACCTTTTACTTCTGGGACCCAGGTCCGAATAGACACTTTGAAAGGAATGGGATTGACCAGGTCACTGAACTTGCCAACAGGAAAGAAAAACATAAATTTGTGACTAGTATGTCCTCGGGCACTCCTCAGAACGGCGGTCCCAAATTAAACAGAATATTTTTTTGTTAGAAAATGTCCGGCTACCACCCTAATATCCACAGATAATTGGTGACATAATTTTTTTGCTTCAAATTTTGTTTGCAGAATAATTATTGCTTGTAATAATATAACATATTTCAAATAATGTTTTGTCAGGAAAATTCTACAAACTTATGACACAGTGCCAAAGGCACTGTATAGGTTTAGTTTGGTTAGTGTTGCTTGCTTAAAACCATCTCATTACAAAAAAGCAATTCAACAAGATAAGTTTATCTTTCTTGCATTTTTCTTTATTTTTCTTCTCCTTTAAAAAAAAAAATTCTTTTAGGAGATAATGATGAAGATCCGGATCTTAATAAGAAAAAAATATAATAAATTTAAATAGGGCATTATTAGTATTAGACGTAAAGAAATACGTCACCAATTATCGGTGGCTGGTAACCGGACACTTTCTAATGAATAATATTTAGTTTTTAAGTTGGGACTGCCGTTCTGAGGAGTACCTGTCCTAGTCTTATCATCCTATGCGATAGCCTATGTCAGTGGTCGGCAAACTCATTAGTCAAATGAACCAAAAATCATGAGCAGGACGATTAAAATTTTTTTTGAGAGTCTAATTTCTTGTCAAGAACCATGTTTTTCGGAGTCAAAACCGATTTGTAGCCGACTGGCTAAGCCTCACTCAGGTTGTTAAAGAGCTGCATGCTGCTGGCGCTGCGGTTTACAGACCACTGGCCTATGTCATTAAAAAGAATCTCAGTGTTCCTCCCCAAACCTGATAATATTTAATATTATTATTCCTATTATTTTAGGAGCTCATTCCAAAAAATTGTATAACATTTTCTGTAACAGGTCTAGTTTTTAAGATCTGGTTGAATTTATACAATTTTAGTCCGCTGTATATATGATCTTTTGTGCAAAATCTTCATGTCATAAAAACCTTTCTTATTTAAATGAATAGTTACATAAGATGATTGGACTTGATGTCAGAAACATTTCAGATTATGAAGTGAATGTTTAAAAAAAGCACCAATGCCTTAATTTTCATGCTTGTTTATTCAATAGATGTTGATAAACATTTTTTTTAAGTATTTATTTTTCCAAACATTTTTAGAAAGGAAAAAGGTGCTTGGTTATTGGTGGATGTGGATTTTTAGGAAGACATCTTTGTGAAGTCTTATTGGAAAAAGGATGGACTGTACAGGTGTTTGATATTAGGACAACATTTGAAGATCCAAGGATAAAATTTTTTATTGGTGATCTTTGTAAAATAGAGGTTTGTGCATTTCTTTTGCATATACTTTTACACTTGTTTGCTGTGGAGCAAACAACCTTATTTGTGATATCCTAATAGCACAAATAGCACTAACTTAATTTTAAAAGCATTTTTCAAGTTTTTAAAAAATTTGATTTGTTCAAAATTTGTAGAAATATTTGAAATATTGCTATCAGATTCTCATCACTGTCCCGTTAGCCCCTTGTGGTTATACTTTAGTGCCTAACTGGCGATACTTTTTTTGCCCCTTCCATTAGTGTGTCCAATGCTTTTTCACTTTGTAGTTTGTATCATAAGCTGTTGAATAATCATTTAACTTTGCCCATTTTATTATTCAGGATTTAAAGCCTGCACTTGAGGGGGTTCACTGTGTATTTCATTGTGCATCACCTGCGCCACTGGGCAACAATAAAGCATTATTTTACAAAGTCAATTATGAAGGCACCCAGAACATTATTGCAACATGTAAAGAAGTGGGAGTCAAGGTAGATTCTAAAATTTAAAAAAAAATATTAAAAAAAATTATTTAAGGATATGAACTTGACTGTATACAAAACCTGGTGTTGATTATTTAAAATGAGCATTTCTTTGGTCACCAGTGATATATATATATATATATCGGGGGGGGGGGGGGGGGAGGACAAAGGGTTTTATGGAAATTCATTTTTTTTGGATGGCCCGCATTATAATTTCAATGAATATAGTGTTCTAGACAATAAATTATACAGATTTTTTATTAACTTGAAAGTAACTATAGTGAGGTGATACCTGTGAGATAACATCTGATAACATCTGATCACTAGACCTAGTTATTGGTGTTCATTGATGAATAGTGCTCGGAAATACATTGCCACTAAATTTAAGGGTTAATTTCCAACGCATTGGAAAGACTGGGATCGTTTGCTCTGCCATATTTTCCAGAGAATAAACGGTCCAATTTTATCAAACGCCATTAAAGAAATGCTTCGAAAATAAACAGTGGAATAACTTCTAAATTTGCTTGTGATTACATTTTTACAATTTTACACCGTGATTATTAATTTTCAAAGGCTTTTGCAGAAAATCATTGAAAATTAGCACATTTTATGAAAACATTGATTCAGTACTTGGCCGGTCTTGTGGGCTAGAATAAACATTTTGGCAGATTGTAGGTCGGCCATTCCTGACATATTCATTACTTTTCAATCTAAAGATTTTTCTAAATCTAAAAGTCATTTATAAGTGGTTCAAATAATTGTTTGTGAATGATAATAAATTATTTTCTAGCGACTTGTCCTAACAAGTTCTGCAAGTGTCGTTTATGAAGGAAAGGGAATAAGAAATGGAAAAGAGGATGAGTTGCCTTATGCCACCAAGCCACTTGACTACTACACTGAGACAAAAATCCTTCAGGAAAAGGTAAGCCATCCTGTGTCTTAAACAATTAAAGAAAACAAAAATATCCTTCATGTTAAAAATAATACAGCTTCATCGCCAACATGGGCTATTTTAGCTTATAACTGGGTTGTGTCTCTTGGAGAATTTTAGGTTTTTGGAACTGTGAATTGTGACCAGTATGCAAATGGATAGGTCAGTGTTCATTTTATCAGGTAATGGGGTCAGGGGGGTTAATATATGTTGGTGTTCATTTCAACAGATAATGGTGTGTCCATGGTTAATAAAATTTGGATGAGGATTTTAGCAAGATGGGTGGTTTGCATTAGAGGATTGGTAAGTCAGAGAGAGAGCGAGATGTTCGTCTGTAAAATGAAATAATTTAAACGCTATAGCAGTATAAAGAGATTGTCTAACCAAGGTTTTATCTTAACCTCACCCATCACCCAGCAGACCTGATTTTATCACTAGTAGACTTAATGTTGTCACCAAGTTGACCTGATGTTATCATTAGTAGATCTGATGTTGTCATCAAGTAGACCTGATTTTATCACTAGTAATTCTAATGTTGTCACCAAGTAGACCTGATTTTATCACTAGTAGATCTGATGTTGTCACCAAGTAGACCTGATGTTACTACTAGTGGATCTGATGTTGCCACCAAGTAGAACTTATTTTATCACTAGTAGTCCTGATTTAGCACTAGCAGATCTGATGTTGTTACTATATTTACATTCAGACTGTCTTGGCTGCCAACTCTCAAGATTTTTACACAGTTGCTATAAGACCTCATGGCATTTTCGGACCACGAGATCTCCAACTTGTCCCCATTGCAGTTGATATGGCCCGTAAAGGAAAGATGAAATTCATTATAGGGTAAGATTGATATTCTCAAGTATCTTAGTAAGTTAAGTACCAGTACAATAAATTAGGGTCTTCAGTAACTATTCAAAAGTTTGTATCAAAATACAAAAGATTTATATTATACTGAGAGTCGGCGGAAGGGGGCAAGACTTATTTAATGGCAGCTGCTGGGCTTTTAGAATTTTTGCAAAAGGAACAGCTTAGAAATCGAAGAATGTGAGATCATAGTTGATCACTGTTTTAGCTTGCGAACAGCCGCGTATGAAGGAGTCGAACAGGCAGATGATGCGGAAAACAAAGTGGAAAACAAAGAATATTACAGAAGACCAAAGTTAACCAGAACTCAAGGTTCTCCTGTGAGAAATGCAGTCGAGACTGCCATTCCAGGATCGGCCCCTTAATTGATGTGTCAATAAGCCACTTCTTGGGCTCATGAAGACGGAAGGTCGCCATTTATATCATACAGATATCCAGTTGGTTTGATGGTCATTCTAAAATTTTGAAGTTCCTTAAAACTGAATAATTTTTTATTCAAATTTTTTTTTTGGGAGAACAAATATAGCCCTGGTGAGGCAAAGTATCAGTTGTTAAAAGCTTAATAAAAATATTTCAGAACTATTTCTCATAGACATGCCATTGATATCTTTGACAGTTGACATCAAAGAATCGTACCTATTCCCTTTTTAAAATTACAGAACTTATTGAAAATCCTGAGATGAAGGTGTCAAGGTGTATAAGTAACTAAAGGATATTTATTGTGAAAACATTCACTGTTAGCTTTTCAAGCAGTCCAGCAAAGTAGAAAAATGTGTTTATGAATCTTTTTTGCTTCATTTTTAGCGATGGGAAAAATGTTGTTGACTTTACCTACGTTGGGAATGTTGTTCATGGTCATGTACTGGCAGCAGAACATCTCAATCCTGGCTCACCTGTGTGCGGAAAGGTAAAACTAGCCACCATTGTTTTCTTTTTTTTTTTTTTCATTTAGGAAGAAATTTTAAAGCAGACCCGTAAATAATGCTGACACATGCATCCTGCATTGCTGAACATTTTCAAATGCACATATTTAATGTGAATATACATTAAAAAAAAAAATTGCTTCAGTGGTGGCGATGTCAAACAATTTTATTGGGGGTTCCCTTTCTTATTTTTCTTTTTTTTTTTTTTTTCATTTAGGAATAAATTTTAAAGCAGACCCGTAAATAATGCTGACACATGCATCCTGCATTGCTGAACATTTTCAAATGCACATATTTAATGTGAATATACATTAAAAAAAAAAAATTGCTTCAGTGGTGGCGATGTCAAACAATTTTATTGGGGGTTCCCTTTCTTAGAGGTAGTTCATAAATGACGCCTGCAGATATGGGCTTGTCTTTGTAAAGCTCTAGACTTAAATTAAAAACACACTTTTCTTCCCAAGGCGTACCATATCACAAACGCTGAACCTATATTTTTCTGGACCTTCATGACCAGACTTCTGACGGGCTTGGGATACCCGGCACCACACATCCACTTGCCCTACACCCTCTTGTACATCCTGGCTCTCATCATGCAGTTTGTGGCATGGGTCTTGAGCCCCATAACAATCATCAGCCCTTCTCTGTCACCCATGAAAGTTGCCCTGGCAGGCACAGACCACTTCTACAGCTGTGAGAGGGCCAAGCAGGACATGGGCTACAAGCCAGTGTTTACCTTAGACCAGGGGCTCAAGTTGACCATGGAGAGCTATCCAGAACTTAAAAACACAGAACCAGTGGAGGAGAAAAAGTCCCAATAGCAATGACAGAGAAGGTGCTCATTCGGAGGCTTAAGTTTTGTGGACATCTCAGAGTTTAATTATGACTTCCTTATTTGACCTCTGAAAAGTCATTGCCTTACAACCGTTGTATCATTGTAGATTTGGTGGCCAGAAAGTGTTTAGTGGTCATGAAATGAGCAAAATTGCTTGTTTATTTTTAAAATAAATTTTTATTGATATTTCAAGATAGTTTTTAAGTATTTTCAAGGATATACCAACAGAATATTCAGTCAAAACTTCTGTAATACATTTATAAATAATTAAATGTTTACTTGCATGAAACAATAATTATTGCTGTGATTTTTTAATAGACAATTAAAACGACAGATTTTTTTCTAATGTCGAAGTTCATGTGAACTCTAACCCTCTAACTCTATTATCATTTAGAGTAACATCTTTTGTTTGACAGTTGTAACTGTATGCCATATCAATGTCAAACTTTGTGTTTATATTTGGAATGGTTTAAAATATTGTTTCAGATCTCTATAATGGTGTAAAATGACACATTTACTGATGCACTTTACAATCTGTCAGCTTCAAGCTGCATTTTAATTTTATTGTGTTTTAAATAGCAAGTACACAATTTTTAGTAATTGTGTCAGAAAAGTTTTAGCTAAATGGATGTCACCAGATGTCGTGTCCACCTGTCGCCAGATGTCATCTTCACCTGCCCCCATTCATAGTTACAGCAGTGGTCAATGCACACATTGCTGGCCTTCTCTGAAACCTTTGGTTGTTGAATACTTTGTCCATGTGCATTAAGGTGAAATCTGGGATCTTTCTGTCAAGAGGCATTCTGATGTCACCTGGCTTTTATTTATGTATGCTTGATTTAAAGAGAACTATAAGTCTGTTGTTAAGTGCAGGTGCTAACGCAACAGGTTTCTTCGGCCACTCTGATAGTGAGTTAACTTTTTGTTTAAAATAAACATGCCCCAACTGCTGTATAGAACTTTTTATTTAATCTTAGCAATGCACTTATTGAAAATTGAATCCATCCATCCCTGTGGCGCTACAGCCCATGTAGGGATTCGGCCTGCCTCACCACTTCCTTCCACTCAGACCTAACTAATGCTTTTCTTTTTCATGCTTTGATTCCCAGGTGTTGTAGATCTTTTTTTTCCCACATCATCCATCCATCTAAGTCTAGGTCTGCCTTTGAGCCTTTTTCCTCTGGGGTTTTGGTGGTGCTTCCGCTTCACTCTTCTGTCATGTGACACTTGATGTACCGGTACATTAGACCAGAATAAAACTAAACTAAAAGGGAGCCATTTCATCTTTTCACACTTTCATCTGTTTAAGATCGATTTCTTTGTCAAATGAATGAAGAAAGGAATATGTTTATTTTTAATAAATCGGGCTACAGCCTGCTGCATGGCCCACTGTTGTTGCCATCCCTGGACTAGCATTACGACTGTAAGTCTGTTGTTAAGTGTTATAGTTATAACTATATATTTCTCTTGGTGCAACTGTCAAGTCTGAAGTGGATCTCTTAGAAACTTCACTTAAAAAATGAAATGTACAGGTGGTACAAGTATTTTCTAGAGTTTTTGATGATGGAGGCGTGCAACAATTGTATTCTGTTGTTTTTATTTGAATGAAATAATTAATTCTTTCTCATAAGAGCAGGGACTATTCCAGGGGAACCTCTGCGGTGTCCTTAAACTATTACTGAGAAACCTCTCAGGTGTCCATTAATTTTTTTTTTTACATGTCATATTACTGTGGAAATGTGACTTAACATGCTTTGAAAAGAATTCCACTGATATTTACTCACTAAATGTTCAATGACCAATGATGCATGAAATAAAACTATGAAATAAGACTAAAACTTGTGTACACAATCAGAAGATTTTTGGTTTTTCAAGATGAAAATACCAATGTAATGTGCTTGAATAGTAAGCTTCAAATCTTCTAAGATTACCACAGAAATTAACCATGTAAAAAATCAAATATTGGTGTTGGTTGAAAGTACGTCCTGTCCTGCTGAGTGATTGAAAGTATGCCATGTCCTGGTGAGGGATTGAAAGTATGCCATGTCCTGCTGAGTGATTGAAAGAATGACATGTCCTGGTGAGTGATTGAAAGTATGCCATGTCCTGCTGAGTGATTGAAAGAATGACATGTCCTGGTGAGTGATTGAAAGTATGACATGTCCTGCTGAGTGATTGAAAGTATGTCATGTCCTGCTGAGTGATAGAAAGTATGTCCTGTCCTGTTGAGTGCTTGAAAGTATGTCATGTCCTGCTGAGTGATTGAAAGTATGTCATGTCCTGCTGAGTGATTGAAAGTATGTCATGTCCTGCTGAGTGATTGAAAGTATGTCCTGCTGAGTGATTGAAAGAATGACATGTCCTGGTGAGTGATTGAAAGAATGACATGTCCTGCTGAGTGATTGAAAGTATGTCATGTCCTGCTGAGTGATTGAAAATATGTCCTGCTGAGTGATAGAAGTATGTCCTGCTGAGTGATTGAAAGTATGTCCAGCTGAGTGATTGAACATATGTCTTGCTGAGTGATTGAAAGTATTTCCTGCTGAATGACCTGGAATATACCCAAAAGTGTTAGTGAACATGACAAACAACATCTCAAGGTAGAAAATGTACATGGCATACAAGGGATGTAAGTGCTTGATATTTTTGATGAAAGGGATTCAATCAGAGTGTCTCATTGTGTTACTCCTTGTTTCTCAATATATTTTATAGTATTTATAAATCTATATATGCATGTCATGAAAATAAACAAAATCAAGACAAAGTCACAAGTCTGTCTTGACAATTCTGTGTTGACAAGTTTGTGCACTTATCTATTATGATCTATACTACACCCTGTGATATAAAATGAAACAAAGTAGGGTTAAACCTGAAAAAAGGAACGCAACAAAACAAGAACGTGTCGGCAGGAAGCCTTCGCCAGCGAACAAAACAGAAAAAAAACAGTATTAAAAAATAGCACTTAGCTTAGAAGTAGTATCAGTGGGCAGCAAATGAATTGTGACAGAAAGTAAGTGAGTGAGAGATTAAATAGGGAAGAGGGAAATAAAAGACGATAAGTAAGTCCACTGCGATAGGTCGGGACGTGGAGGGACGGAGCTAGGTTCAAGCTGCGAAAAGAGACATGTGGCATCAATTTGCCATAAGTCAGAATAAGCCTGTGTTCCAAATTCCCCCGGCTGGTTGTGTTCGCGCTAGCCACAATCGCACTTACGGAAAAGAAAGTCCGTCTTGCCGTGGTGGTCGCTACTATTGAAGTGTTTGGAGACGGGACACTGTTTATCTTGTGTAATGTTACGGAGGTGTTCGGTACACCTGTCAGAGAGTCGGCGTCCAATCTCCCCTATGTACGTCATCTATATTGCGCTAACCTGATTGCAGGCTTTCCCCTTATTACCCTACACCCTGTGATAGAAGTGTTCATTTGTGGTGACCAGTAACTACACGATCCTCACTGCTCCACATTTTAGCTCATTCTTATGCTCAGAACCCTGTCACTTTTTTTTTTCATTCTTCAAATAGCTCTCACATTCAGTAGAAATTTTTTTCCGTTTTGTCTACCAAAACTTTAATTATATATATGTATTGGTAAGTGTTTCAGTCTGTGCATGTATCAGTATCAGTCTTTCTGTATCAGTCTGTGCATGTATCAGTCTATCATTATCAGTCTGTGCATGTATCAGCCTATCTGTATCAGTCTGTGCATGTATCAGTCTATCATTATCAGTCTATGCATGTATCAGTCTATCTGAATCAGTCTGTGCATGTATCATTCTATCTGTATTAGTCTATGCATGTATCAGTCTATCTGAATCAGTCTGTGCATGTATCAGACTATCTGTATCAGTCTGTTATGGTGCAAGCTGTATTAAACTCGGTTTACGGACTGTTTGAAAAAGAAAAGGATTTGTCACTACAATGGTCATGTATGTCACTACAATGGTCGTGTATATGTCACTACAATGGTCATGTTTATGTCACTACAATGGTCATGTATATGTCACTAAAATGGTCATGTTTATGTCACTACAATGGTCATGTTTATGTCACTACAATGGTCGTGTATATGTCACTACAATGGTCATGTTTATGTCACTACAATGGTCGTGTATATGTCACTACAATGGTCATGTTTATGTCACTACAATGGTCATGTTTATGTCACTACAATGGTCGTGTATATGTCACTACAATGGTCATGTTTATGTCACTACAATGGTCGTGTATATGTCACTACAATGGTCATGTTTATGTCACTACAATGGTCATGTATATGTCACTAAAATGGTCATGTATATGTCACTACAATGGTCATGTTTATGTCACTAAAATGGTCATGTTTATGTCACTACAATTGTCGTGTATATGTCACTACAGTGGTCATGTTTATGTCACTACAATGGTCATGTATGTCACTTAAATGGTCATATGAAAGTCACTCAGGGCTCGTGTATATATGTCACTTCAGACTTCAGTGATTATGCATGTCACTTTCAGTTGTCATTCTATGTCACTTTAGTGGTCATGCATGTCACTTCAATGGTCATGTATATGTGACTTCAGTTATATCAAAGTAATATACACAGTGTACATGTCACTTTTATTGAACAATTATCATTCCATCAACTATACCAGGTGATGCTGTCATCATCATCATGTCCCTTAGTCCTTGGACCTTTTGGGCGCCACAGATGACATGAAAACTATGCTCCTCTATTTCTCTCTGTCTTCTGCACTTCGCACATCATCGCCTAGTTTTAGTCCCGTCCGCTCTTTGATGTTATCTTCCCATCTTTTTCTCTGCCTTCCTCTTATTCTCCCCCCCCCCCCAGTCGTTGTGCGCTGCACGATTTCTTTGACGAGCCCCTGTTTCCTTGTTTCTTTTATGTTATCTTCCCCTCTTTTTTTCTGCCCTCCCCTTTTTCCCCCCCCCCCCCCCCAGTCGTTGTGCGCTGCACGATTTCTTTGACGAGCCCCTGTTTCCTTGTCACGTGGCCATACCATTCCAGTTTGCGCTTTTTCACAGTCACCGGGAGGTCATCATACTGCCCAATTGTCTGATGAATCCTGATGCTGTATTTATTATAAAACAAAGCTCAATAATCAAACATTTCAGATATTTACATATCAAAAACTTGCGTGGGACCTTACAGTTTAATAGGGTATGGTACAAACTGTTATATGCTACAGACTCTAAAGATATCCAGAACATTATAACACTCTTTATGAACTTAACATCATTACTGTCTTAGACAATAGTAAAATATGATCTACTTTTTAACATTTAAAAAAAAAGAAAGAAAATAATAAATAAGTGAAAGTGTTATAAATAAATTAAATATATGCAAATTTCTCTCAGGCCAAGTGTTGGGGAATTAGGTGAAGTCAGCCAAAGGGTGAGCAGGGAGCAAGGTGAAGTCAGTCTTATGGGGGGAGCAGGGAACAAGGTGAAGTCAGCCACAAAGTGAGTAGGGAGCAAGGTGAAGTCAGCCAAAGGGTGAGCAGGGAGCAAGGTGAAGTCAGCTACAGGGTCAGCAGTGAGTAAGGTGAAGTCAGCCACAGGGTGAGCAGGGAATAAGGTGAAGTCAGCCACAGGGTGAGCAGGGAGTAAGGTGAAGGCATCCATAGATGACGTATATTGTATAATCCCACTTTGGCCTACTTTTGTAGTAATGAATTGAAACAATTAGCTGCTAGTGATCAACATAAAAAATGAGTTAGCTCTATCTATTACTGACTACAAAATATTTGAAATTTATAAATTAATTGCTCAAAAAGACATTGGAGATTCAGAATAACGGTACTTGAATTGGCAACTCCGAACACAAGTCGGTGCTAAGCTCACTGCAATGTTGGGTAATACGTATTCCACAATGCTAGGTGTAGGTTTGAGTAGGCGACTATTAACTGCGCTCTGAGTGTACCATGAATGAGTAAACTGGACATGGATTAAACAGTGCACAGTGAGTGAGTAAACTTAACATTGATCACTCGTCCACTGTTCTGTGTATGTGTGTACAATGAGTGATTACATTTTAAGAGGAGCTACATATGTCTTAGAAATTGATCACGCCGGTGGAAAAGTCGTGATCTATTCTTTGACACACTACTGGAACCATCTGTACTGTATGGGTTAGCATTTGTTCAACATATGGATCATATGGATTATTATTTGTTCAGCATATGGATTTGTATAATTTCAGCACATGGATTAGTATTTGTTTAGCACAATATTTAGTATTAGTTCAGTACATGGATTAGTATTAGTTCAGTATATGGATTAGTATAAGCTCAGCATATGTATGAGAATAAGCTCAGCATATGGATAAGAATTAGCACAGCACATGGGTTAGTATTAGTTCCGTACATGGATAAGTATTAATAAGCATATGGATATGTATTAGTTCAGCACATGGATAAGAATTATTTCAGCTCATCGATTAGTATTAGTTCAGTACATGGATTAGTATTAGTTCAGCATATGGATTCGTATTAGTCAGCATATGGATAAGTATTAATTCAACTCATGGATTAGTATTAGTTCAGTAAACGGATTAGCATTAGTTCAGCATATGGATTATTATTTTTTCAACATATGGATCATATGGATTAGTATTTGTTCAGCATATGGATTAGTTTTTGTTCAGCACATGTATTAGTAATAGTTCATCATATGGATCTTAAGGATTAGCATTAGTTCATCATATGGATCATATGGATGAGTATTAGCTCAGCATATGTGTTACTATTAGTTCCATTTGGATTTTTTAGTTCCGCATATTATGGATTAGTATTGGTTTCTTGCAATTAAAGAACGCAATTAAATTGTAAATGTTCTCTTCTACTTCTACCAAAAAAATTTAACGATAACAATTAGAATTTTTGTTTTTGTTTGATCGAACAAAATTTGGAATGCTGGTAACAAAGAGCAGTCCTTATAGATGTTTCAATCAACTATTGTTCAATTTCTGGTAAAAAAAATAAATAAGTAAACATTATAAAGCATTTAGTAAAAGTGAATGTAAAGTTATAAAACACATGGTTTAGCTTTAACGTAACAGTAATTGATAACAGTTCAAGTTTTTTTTTTTTTTTGCAATAGCTGAAAAGCTCAGATTTTACTTTCGACTTTTTGTTCTTTCTACGCACCGATATAAATGGTAATGATGATTAAAGTTGAAAGAAATATTTTTTCAACTGTCTTAGTAATGGACACGTCATCTTAGGTTCCTTTAATTTTTCATTCAGTTCTCTGACGTTTAGAAACGGACCACTTTTGAAAAGCGGGAGGGCGTTGGCGCTGCAAATACATTCATAATATTGACATTTCTTTTTCCAAATAAAACCACAGCTGGCCTTCTTCAAATTTTCTCTTGACTTCGGTTCCTCGGGAGCTCACTCCGGGACACAGTCGTTGCACAAAAAATAAATATCATCGTCTTTTCCTCGTCCCCAGGCGGGCGAGTGCTTGACCACGCATTCCCTGTGAGCCACGCGGCCGCAGAGGTAGCATTTCAGCCACGACGAACTGGCGCTGGTCATCACGACGATCTTCCTGCACAGCAAGCACTGGCACTGCCCAAACGTGAAGGCCTCGGGCAACCGAGGCGGTTTCGGGGGCTGCACTTCAACGTCCGGATTGACGTTGGTGTCCGAACTGTTTGATGAGCGCACAGATTTACTACGCTTGACGGGCTTGCGTTTGACCACCGCCTGCTTGCCCTTGTCCTTGGATGTCCCAGGCGTACTGTCGGTTCGGCAGTATCTGCTTTCTTTACTGGACCCGCCGCGCTGACGACCTGGTGGTTTCTTCTTACCGGAAGTACTCGGGCTGAATTTACGGTATTTTTTCTTTCTTTCCGGGGACGAATCTGAATCGCTCCTAGAGCGGTCTCTCCTCTTCCTGACGCCAGACCTACTGTTGTAGTTTTTGTCCTGCCCATCGCGTTTGGTCGTCCACTTGCACTGCGGCACTATGGCATAAGTTGCGCTGTTTGACCGACCGCCCGATGATAGTAAACCGCAAACGTGAACTCTCCTGGCTTTGTACCTGCTCGTGTTTTCCCGCTTGAAGACTACTCTTGATGCCCGCGTGCCTACGTGGGTGTATTTCCGTCTCGCTTTTCTACGCCTCGCGAAAAGCCCTTTGTTGTTGTTACTCGTACAGGGCGGCAATGTTTCGCGCGTGTTTCCAGGCGTAGGCAGGTCCACGCCCCTGTTCATCTCAATACGGCCAAGGACAGGGGATCGCGAAGTCTGGTTGCATTCAAAGGGGCCTGCTGGCGGGCAACGCACTTCAGGGGCGTCGCTGTTTTGTGGATGACATGACGAGTAACGCACTTCAGGGGCGTCGCTGGTTTGTGGATGACATGACGAGTAACGCACTTCAAGGGCATCGCCGATTTGTTGATGGCACGACGAGTAACGCACGCCAGAGGCGTCGCTGGTTTGCTGATGGCAACACGAGTAACGCACTTCAGGGGCATCACTGGTTTGCTGATGGCAACACGAGTAACGCACTTCAGGGGCATCGCTGGTTTGTTTACTCGATGGTGAGTAACGCACTTCAGAGGCGTCGCTGGTTTGCTGACGGCAACACGAGTAACGCACTTCAGGTGCGTCGCTGGTTTGTTTATGACACGACGAGTAGCGCACGTTAGAGGCGTTCCTGGTTTGTTTTTGACGCGGCGAGTAACGCACGTCAGGGGCGTGGCTGGTTTGTTTATGACACGACCAGTATCGCACTTCAGAGTCGTTGCTCATGTCTTTGTGCGTTGGTGAGCTACACATATCAGGGGCGTTGCTGATGTCTTTGGGCTTTGGCGAGCTACACATATCAGGGGCGTTGCTCATGTCTTTGTGCGTTGGCGAGCTACACATATCAGGGTCGTTGCCCATGTCTTTGTGCGTTGGTGAGCTACGCATGTCGGGGTTGTCGCTGGTTTGATTAGGACACGTGTCGCATGCGGTGCTGCCATCGTTGTTCGAGTCTTTGCCTGTTGAATAAACCATGAAAGCAAACCCCTTGATATTTTGGCGGATGATAACTCGGTGTCAAATAATTTAAAGAAATAACACAAGTGTCAATATGCTTTCACTGCTCTTTAATTTTGCTAGCCCATAATGCAATTCATTTTTAAAAAAACATTTTGTAAAAATAGAAGAACAAAAAACCGAATAAAAAATAAAAAACAGCTTAAAATGTGGTTCATAAATTATTTTTTTAAAAAACGAAGTAAATTGAAATTAGAAGTCTTAAATCTTTATAAAAAAAGTAAGTTAAAAAGTAAGTTAAAAGTAAGTTTAAAAAGTAAGTTAAAAAGTAAGTACAACGCCAAGGGATAAAAGGGCCAGAAAAATGAAAAGATTTTGGTCGAACGTTGATATTATTTTAAATTTAAGTTAATCTTTATTGTGCTGTTAAATCGCAAAACGAATTGTCGAGCACTAAGACCACAGCAGTCACAAACACATGAATACATAATATTTCCAAATAATACAATATACTAGTGGTATTGATAATGTCTCCCTGTAACTAAGCACGAGCAACTGCACGAGCGTCCCCTGAATTCCCACCTCTGTCTTTTGTGCAAATTGCACGTTACCTATCTACACTCTGACTTATAAATTCTTAGATGCATTTCCCACTTCGAGTGACCCGTACACAGGGGTCGTCTAAGACCATCGGGAAAAAACACATATTTATGAAGTAGCAACGAAAAAATTGTAAGCTATGGGGGGGAGGGGGGTGTCATCACAACATGAGGAACTGTATTAAATGGCGGCGGCGTTAGGAAGGTTGAGAACCACTGGTCTAAACTAAACACGATGCTAATATATGAAATGGGTAACGCCTTTAAGTCTGTGACTTTACTTTTAAAGTTTAGAAATTCCTACGACAGAAAACACACCTGAATAGCTTTTAAATACGTATATAACCCCCACAAAATATTATGTCAAAAGCTGGCGCGTCGTCACTTCCTGTCACTTCTGAGCAAAGTAAAGCCGACAGTGACGCATGCCACGGTCAACAATGGGAGTAACACGCGTTTTCTTTTAGCCATACCGTCACGGAGACTCAGCTTCGAAAGCTGTTCGCAGGCAGACAGGACGGTGTCTTTGAGGCACGTTCCCATTGTCCTCGGGTGGCTGTTCTGCCCCGGCTCCTCGTCTGCAAGGACAACCGCGTCATAATGGCCGACATCCGGCCCCAGTCTAGTGAATCGAACTGCCAGAGGTTTGGACTGCATTCAAAGAAATGATCATGTTAATATCAAGGCATCCTCATCTTTGTCATAAAAACTAATCAAACGCCAGGAAAATTTTTTGACAAAATATTTCATTTTTCTAATTTTCTCCGATCTTCTGTTTTGCACAAATTAATGCATGTACCCTCCTCTGTCTTCCGAGTTAAGTTAATATTACTTCATATTTCCATTTTCCGTGGTTATTAAAAAAACAAAACAATAAAAACACTATATTATCTATTATTTAACTGGGCCATGTTACCTGGGGATATCTGTCTTGTCCATAGGTTGTAATCAGCACCAGGTCCGTGTTCAGTACAAAAATCATTCGTTCTAGGACCATAGCCGCGGCATTGAGTTCCAGCTCGCCTGGCATTGTGTGGTTGTTGGACATAGCCTCCAGGCGATCATGAAACTTCTGGTAGTTCCCAGTGACCGGCTGACGTGACATGGACGTGACAGATAAAGTAGTAGTTTGACGTGATCATTTCAAGAATGGAAAAAAATAATAAAATTAGCGACATGAAATAAAGAGCAATAGGTTCACGTGCGGAGTTTTTAGAATCACGCTTGTAGCTTTTAGAATCACGTATGGAGCCTTTATAATCACGTGTGGAGCTTTTAGAATCACGCGCGGAGCTTTAAGAATTACGCATGGAGCTTTTCGAATCACGTGTGGAGCTTTTCGAATCACGTGTGGAGCTTTTCGAATCACGTGTGGAGCTTTTCGAATCACGTGTGGAGCTTTTCGAATCACGTGTGGAGCTTTTCGAATCACGTGTGGAGCTTTGAGAATCACGTGTGGATCTTTGAGAATCACGTGTGGAGCTTTGAGAAAATTATGCTAGTACCAAGGCTAAATAAAATGTCGAATTTATTTTAAAACCTGGATTTACATTTTAAAAAACCGAACGATTGTTATTCATTATTGTGTTATATTGCCTGGATATGCTTTATTCGACAACAACAAAAAATTTCGTAATGTGACACGGTATTTGACAAGGTATGTCTCATGGAAGGGACACAATGCATTGCAAAGTGTGAGGAAATGTATGTGACCAGCGCTGTGAATAGATAATTTTCCAGGTATGTGACAAACAGTGTGACACGTTACATAAACGGGCAGGCGCTAAGGAATATAACACAATGTAATGTATTACAGGAGCTACAACTAAACACTTGCTCTCAAATCTTTTAATGAATTACAGGAATACGACACAGGAGCTACAACTAAACACTTGCTCTCAAATCTTTTAATGAATTACAGGAATACGACACAGGAGCTACAACTAAACACTTGCTCTCAAATCTTTTAATGAATTACAGGAATACGACACAGGAGCTACAACTAAACACTTGCTCTCAAATCTTTTAATGAATTACAGGAATACGACACAGGAGCTACAACTAAACACTTGCTCTCAAATCTTTTAATGAATTACAGGAATACGACACAGGAGCTACAACTAAACACTTGCTCTCAAATCTTTTAATGAATTACAGGAATACGACACAGGAGCTACAACTAAACACTTGCTCTCAAATCTTTTAATGAATTACAGGAATACGACACAGGAGCTACAACTAAACACTTGCTCTCAAATCTTTTAATGAATTACAGGAATACGACACAGGAGCTACAACTAAACACTTGCTCTCAAATCTTTTAATGAATTACAGGAATACGACACAGGAGCTACAACTAAACACTTGCTCTCAAATCTTTTAATGAATTACAGGAATACGACACAGGAGCTACAACTAAACACTTGCTCTCAAATCTTTTAATGAATTACAGGAATACGACACAGGAGCTACAACTAAACACTTGCTCTCAAATCTTTTAATGAATTACAGGAATACGACACAGGAGCTACAACTAAACACTTGCTCTCAAATCTTTTAATGAATTACAGGAATACGACACAGGAGCTACAACTAAACACTTGCTCTCAAATCTTTTAATGAATTACAGGAATACGACACAGGAGCTACAACTAAACACTTGCTCTCAAATCTTTTAATGAATTACAGGAATACGACACAGGAGCTACAACTAAACACTTGCTCTCAAATCTTTTAATGAATGACAGGAATACGACACAGGAGCTACAACTAAACACTTGCTCTCAAATCTTTTAATGAATTACAGAAATACGACACAGGAGCTACAACTAAACACTTGCTCTCAAATCTTTTAATGAATGACAGGAATACGACACAGGAGCTACAATTAAACACTTGCTCTCAAATCTTTTAATGAATGACAGGAATACGACACAGCCTCTTTTGGTAAATATTTTAACTAACTCACCCAAAAAACTTACTCTTTATTTGGTAACCTCTTTACAAATCCATCCAACTTACCTGGTCTGCATTGATGACCCCTTTACAAATCCATCCAACTTACCTGGTCTGCATTGATGACCCCTTTACAAATCCATCCAACTTACCTGGTCTGCATTGATGACCCCTTTACAAATCCATCCAACTTACCTGGTCTGCATTGATGACCCCTTTACAAATCCATCCAACTTACCTGGTCTGCATTGATGACCTCTTTACAAATCCATCCAACTTACCTGGTCTGCATTGATGACCTCTTTACAAATCCATCCAACTTACCTGGTCTGCATTGATGACCTCTTTACAAATCCATCCAACTTACCTGGTCTGCATTGATGACCTCTTTACAAATCCATCCAACTTACCTGGTCTGCATTGATGACCTCTTTACAAATCCATCCAACTTACCTGGTCTGCATTGATGACCTCTTTACAAATCCATCCAACTTACCTGGTCTGCATTGATGACCTCTTTACAAATCCATCCAACTTACCTGGTCTGCATTGATGACCCCTTTACAAATCCATCCAACTTACCTGGTCTGCATTGATGACCTCTTTACAAATCCATCCAACTTACCTGGTCTGCATTGATGACCTCTTTACAAATCCATCCAACTTACCTGGTCTGCATTGATGACCTCTTTACAAATCCATCCAACTTACCTGGTCTGCATTGATGACCCCTTTACAAATACATCCAACTTACCTGGTCTGCATTGATGACCCCTTTACAAATACATCCAACTTACCTAGTTTTTATTGGTGACCCCCTTTACAAACCCACCCAACTTACCTGGTCTGCGTTGATGACGCCTTTACAAACCCTTTCAACTTTCCTAGTCTTTATTGATGACCTCTTAACAAATCCATCCAATTACCTGGTCTGTATTGATGACCCATTTACAAACTCTTTCAACTTACCTAGTAATTATTGGTGACCCCTTTACAAACCCACCCAACTTACCTGGTCTGCGTTGATGACACCTTTCTCCAGCTGGGAATAAAAGTGCAGATTATCTTTCATCAGACGTACGACCAGGGCCCTCAGCTCGTCTGCCTTGACCGTTTCCTCATCGGCGTCGTTCAAACGCTCAGGGCGTCCGAACTCATCCCTCCTGCTCGTCTGCAGTTTTGGGCACCCGGCCGTGACCAAACTACGAAACAGACACCGCCCGTCTCCCTCGACCCTCACCACGCGCCCGACAAACTGTTGTCTGATGAAGCTGTCCTCTCGATGACTCGTCGCACCGTTGGAGTTGTTCCTTTCGCTTGAGAACGAGTCGCCGAGTCCGTAAATCTCATTGGGCGACGAATAGGACATTTGGTCAAGACATTTCTTCACGAGGTCATTTCCTGATCTGGCCGACGTCTTGTCACCGGTCGTGACCCCAGAACAAGCGCCCACACTCAGCCTGGTGAACTGTTGAGACTCGCAGCCGACGCGCCCCCTGGTGGCGATGACATCCGGAGGTGCAAAAGAGAAATAGGGATGATTGGCTTTGACGACACTGCTTGGGGTTCTAGTTAAAGTGCCATTTTTCTGTTTGACGTTGTTGTCAGCGCTGATGGCTTGACGTGCTTTTCGCACACTGAACCCCCTACGTTCACCCAGAGCATGGTCGTATGTCCTCAAGTTTCCGACGATCACCGTGGGCTCGACTTTGGTCGTGTTGATACGCTTGGACGGACCAATGAACGTTGTATTTCTTTGATGGTGAGCGGGTCCGTAACTCCCAGTTTTTGAGCTACCATACGCATGCTGTAAACTTTGATTCTTGTTGGACAGACTGGAAGCAACACTAGAACCACTGCTGCTGGTGTCGTCTTTGGGAATGCTGGAGGCTATACAAGCCCTGTCAGCGTTTTGGAATCGTATCTCAATAGCGTGTACGCCCAAGGCAGGCCTACAGAGAAATGACTTTTTTGGCATGGGCGGCACTGGTCTAACGATAGCAGAGTGAAGTCTGAATCCCGTATTTGAATTGCGGGAAACACACACGCACTCCATGCCTTGTTTGGACGGATCCCGGTAACAATTGTTCTTGTTGGTCGCCGATTTGAAGTTTGACTGCATTTTCTGACTCTTGGGAGGATTTAAAAATATTTCGCTTGTTCTCCTGCCAACTGATCCGATCGGAGAATTCCCCGACAAAACGGGAACTGTGCTCTGTGTACGACGTGTCACGCTGTGACACCCTGAAAGATGGGCGTTTCGTACTCTCCCAACGCCCTGAGCTGCAGCAGAAGAAGCCAGCAGCTGCGGGCCAGTGAACAAGTTGTCCATGCGCCCCTTTTCTGGTCCGATGGCGGAGTTATTGGTATTAGAAGACACAACTCCGTCGACCGCTTCAACGGAACCAACGCCATTTTCAAATACCTCCTCTTTCTGAGAAGGCACAGGCGTTTCCTCGGGAGGACCATCCTTCAACAAGCTGACTATTGGGGTCGGATCGTCCACCCACATGGACTGGTCGCAATCCCCACAGCACGCAATGTCCCCACTTGGTTTCAACGTGTTGTCGACGCCGTAGCGGCTGATGTCCTCTCGCGCCTCCTCCCCCCTGACACCCACGTCCACGTCACACGGGCAGGCGAACCGGCTGTAGTTCAGCCTGGTTCTCTTATGACTCTTCGGCAGTCCGCAGTTGGGGCATTTACTTTCACGCAGCCTTACCGACTCGTGGACCAGCGTTTTAATGTGCAGCCGGTCACCCTTCCCCGTCACCACGCCGGCAGGCATGCCGCCACCTCTACACGCCAATCCATCTTCGGCAACTGCACGCGCCACATCTTCATCGCCTTTCTGGGTCTCGTCCTTTGATTCTGTCAACACCGGCGAACCCGAGCCTGTTGAATCCATTTATTTTGTAACTAAAAATGTTATTTTCACGTTTCAATTAGGAAACAATACCAGAATCGTTTTTTTAAATGTATGCATGTCAATGATGGAAATTACGTTCAGTTAATTTTGGGCATAGCATGTCACTCATGTCACGATAAGTTACTGATGCCCGAGAAATTAATGATGAAAGTGACACATTCGCACGTTCTAGTTACATTAGTTACATTATTGTACCATTAGATTTATGGGAATTTGAGTTCGGTGCATTAATGTCAGATGTTTCAACAATATGGAGCCTGGGATGGATGGCACAACACTTCAGGCATAGAAACGCATCTTGGAATAAATTCGCCGATTCCGGTTTCAATAGCTGCAGCAATAGTGCGTTCCAGTGTCGTATGGAGTTGGATGCACACCTTGTTACATTAAACATGAGTTGAAGTTGCAAAATCGCAAACAGTTATGAGAATCTGTGGGTAAGTTCAAATGAATTGTACGGCACGATTAATTGAAAGAGATAATCACTAAAATATCATGGGTTCAAAAATATATATATTTTAAAAAAAAAATGTGACTATTGAACGCTGTTACTGTTACAAAAATGTAACTGTATATTTTTGTATCCTGAAATTTGTTTGAAAGAAATTTCGTCGACGGAAAAATTGATCGACGGAAATTTGATCGAACGGAAATTTGGTCGTATCTTTTTGTCAGTTCACACGTTAAAATTTTGCGTCAAATTTATTTTTGAATGCATTATTTTGTTTTACTATATAGTATGGTGCGTTTAAAAAGAAATTTGACTCAAAATTTTAACGTGTGAACTATAAAAAGATTAGACCAAATTTCCTTTCGATCGAATTTCCGTCGACGAAATTTATTTCAAACAAATTTCCGGTAACCGTATAAGTTAGCTGGATACTTTAACTGTATTTTTGAGTGACCTTTTGTTACATACGTTCAAGTACACGTAACCCAATATTTCAAGGCAGGGTAAACAATACCTTTCAGTAGCTTGAGTTTTTTCATTGATTGCTTTGATCATCACCGAACCCCAAGAGGGCAATTTAATAATGTATGTGGCATACTTGAAAAAACAACAACAACATGATTGAATGCACAACATTGACCCATGTGTTCTATAATTCATTGCACTGGCAAAGGAAGGTGGGGGGGGGGGAGGCGGTGGTCCGAGCCCGGGATGAAATGTTTTTCAAAAACATTTGAAACGGGGGCGGCATTTTCGTTTTTCATTGATTGCTTTGATCATCACCGAACCCCAAGAGGGCAATTTAATAATGTATGTGGCATACTTGAAAAAGCAACAACAACATGATTGAATGCACAACATTGACCCATGTGTTCTATAATTCATTGCACTGGCAAAGGAAGGTGGGGGGGGGGGGAGGCGGTGGTCCGAGCCCGGGATGAAATGTTTTTCAAAAACATTTGAAACGGGGGCGGCATTTTCGGCGAACTACAGATTTGTAATGTGGGGAGGGCAAGGCAAATATTCTTGGCCAGCACTAAACACGTACTACACCACTGATTCGCTGTGGACTCTTACAGACGCAGACATACGGCAAGCCAGCTTAAAGTAGAGAAGATGATATTTTTAGAGATGACATCCAGGAACGAAGTATGTCAGTGATTTGACGTAACTATTTACAATAGCTAATCCCGTTTTACGGACCCCGGTGGACGGTGAGTGAACTCTCCTGACCTGTCGCCCCTAGTTGGGCTTTTAATCCAGCGTTTAATTGTGAAGCATCGCTTGTGTAATTTGTAGCTGCAGAATGAATATCACTAGTCATGAGCCCAATGCTCTTTAGCGTGCATCGCTATTAAACAGAATATATTCTATGACACTTGTGGATATAGAAAAAAAACAAACAATGAAGAAGAAATGGGCCATTTAACCGTATGTTTTAAAAAATAAAACTATAAAACTCGAAGAATTTGATCCCCACAAATGTTAAATTTAATAAAAATATAATTCTAGAATCTAGGGTATTACTCGTATGTAGTTTCTGTAATGTTGCGTTTTGTATTTCAATGTGGTATAATATAGATTTTTTCATTTCTCTTTTAATATAGATGACTTTTTACCTCGCTTCGAGCCTTTGGGATGAAGCGTGATTTTCAAATTAACGTTATTATTATTATTACTAAACGTCACCTTGTTAACAAAAGTGTTGCTCAATAGCCAACGCCGTTACAAGAATAAATTCAGATTTATCACAAAAGTGCCACATTTAACTGCCTAACTGGATATTGTGGGATTAATATTAAAAGAATTCAAAGGATAAGTATTAAACTAGAATTCAAAGGATTAATATTTAACAAGAATTAAAAAAAAAAAATCACTTTTAAAAGTGAAAAATAATTCTCACGCACGCCCAATTTTTATTTATTCATTTATTTATGCATTTTTATATAGCACTTACCTTAAAGCTCTAAGCGCTTTACAATTATTAAAAACATGTAAACTAACACAATAAAAATGAGATATTAGGATAGTAACTACTATACTATAGAAACAATTAAAATGGCTATAAAACGAGGACACTTTGGCACGTTTTGGCTTATATTACAGGATTAACCCGAGACAGAAAATGAGGCAGGGCAAGGAGGGTGCATCACAGGTCATAGGCGGACCTAAACAGATGGGTTTTAAATACATTTATTTTTTATTAAGCTGCCACTATAAAAATCAATTAAGGAGTAAAAGGGAATGTTTTCTACACTGCATGTTCCGGTGCAAATGGTTACATTATTTTGACACATGCGTATAAAAATCAGGATCTCATTTAATGCACACCGCGCGAGTATCGTAACCGGAAAATCCCGATTTTTTAACCATTGGGGCACGGCGACGCTGCAAAATTGCCATCTTGGTGTAAATGACGCAAACTCATCACTTAGATATCGATTCGTCACCAAGGGAAAATGACGTCACTGTCCCATTAATTGAGAAAACATTGCTGAAAGAGGGACAACGCTCGAAATCTTTGGACTTTTTTTTGAAAACAAAAAAAGAAAAGCATCAAGTGAGATAAAGTTCTTGCCTTTTTCTTTAGCTGGAATGAAAAGACAACAACCTTAGCTCAAGGGAACCGTTGGCCTCTACACCGAAGACGTTATGACATCGACAACGTCGACGACCCAAGACTTAGCGGCCATGTTGGCCAACATGTCTGCTGCTTCGCTCTTTGTTGGAGAGCTACTGCCCCACGTCAATGAGGTAAGACGTTTTTAAAAAAATGGAAGTAATGTCTGTTTGGTATGTGCGTACATTATTCTTTGTTTAATTTAGCGTACCCCTCAACCTTTCACCAATATGGCCATAGTATTGACCTGACATTTTAGACACATACATAAGTTGCAGGGGACTGTTGATAGGGAGAGCCCCTATCTTAGTGCGTTAGTTTGGTTGCTAGGATATTGTTGATAGGGAGAGCCCCTATCTTAGTGCGTTAGTTTGGTTACTAGGATATTGTTGATCGGGAGAGCCCCTATCTTAGTGCGTTAGTTTGGTTGCTAGGATATTGTTGATAGGGAGAGCCCCTATCTTAGTGCGTTAGTTTGGTTGCTAGGATATTGAAAACTCTCGGCCAAACCACGTCCACTGTCAAAATAAAATGTGCATGTTGTGTTATGAGACTGAACTCGAGAGAACAATGATTTTGTCACACAAAAGTTGTGCCGATTTATGCAAGGAGTTTGTGTTACATTTGTTTCAAATCTCACACACGTTAAATCTTTGCCAGATTACCCCTCCCCCCACCTTCACCTCAACTGTCATTTAAAGCAATTATTGGCAATTACTTATATCCAACGAGGAATAAAGAAAAGAACTAATTCATCCAAGCGTGTAAAACGGAAGAATTGTCTTTTAAAGTCACATTTCCCCATCTCTGGTACACGCTGGTATAACGCTGTTATGGGCTACTAACTTTTAAATCAAGATACTGGAAGCATATTCTTTTAGAATCGGGTTATATATACCCAGGAAATACAGCAGCTTTGCTTAAAGAACTTCGTTTCTAAAGTTTGTTTCAGTGACCTGTGTGTGTGTGTTAGGGTTAGATGTGTTAGGGTTGTAGCACAATGCACATCCATGGCAACCGAGAAAACAAGTGTTCATTCCGTGCTTTGCCCTTATCACAGTTCTAGAAAGGCTTTTCCTTATTTATTTATAATTATACCATTTGTTTTAAATCTCGACCCCCCCCCCTCGAATCCCCGTGTCTACATTTTCTCAACATGATTTCATCTTTCTACCTAAAATTTTTGTAAAAAGCTTTCCAACCATTATGTGTAGCTTGATCTGATGCACTCCTATTGTAAACATTCAGGTTATATTATACAAGAAGTTCGCCCCTTTGGGTACAGTAACATCGGTCAAGTTGTGCAGAGACTGGGTGACAGGAAAGTCGCTTTGTTACGCATATGTCAATTTTGAAAATCCAGCCGAAGGTTTGTTCACTGTGTTGTTGAGATAGCCCCCCCCCCCTCATTCCCTCCGTCCCCTTCCTTCTCTTCCCTCCCTCTCTTCCCTCCCTCTCTCTTCTTGCACATCCCTCTCTTTCTCTCATTTTTACTCTCTCTCGGTCCTTACCCAGCCCCGGTGCATAACAACTAACATGTTGATTCATACTCATTGGCGCTAGGATCTATAACAATTTCACCCACACTTATTTTTAGGGTTTAAATTTAAATACTCATCAAATTTAAAATTCCGGGGACCCCAATCACTAACGATCTCCATGAAATTCCTTGTAGCTGAGAAAGCCTACCGTTCGTTGAACTATGAACTACTAGAAGGACAGCCCATGAGAATAATGAAGTCTACGAGGAACCCTTGGCTCCAGAAAGGTGGCGACTGTAGCTGCTACCACCATCACTGCTGTACAGGGAGCAACAACAAGGGATTCGTAGACGCCAAGACGCTCGTTGAGGCTATCGAGAGTTACAGTATGGCTTTTAAGGTCAGTGGATCATATAACGTACATACACAATCATGTAAGTTCATGTGTAGATCATGTAAGCAGTTGTAGATCATGTAAGCAGATATATGTGCTATAAGCAGATTATATCACGTAAGCAGACGTAGATCATGTAAGCAGTTGTAGATCATGTAAGCAGATGTATGTCCTATAATCAGATTATGTCACGTAAGCAGATGTAGATCATGTAAGCAGATGTAGATCATGTAAGCAGATATATGTCGTATAAGCAGATGTATGTCCTATAATCAGATTATGTCACGTAAGCAAATGTAGATCATGTAAGCATATGTATGTCCTATAAGTAGATTATGTCAGGTAAGCAGACGTAGATCATGAGAGCTATCATTAT